TTTTTTTTTTTATATCCTGAAACATTTTGAGTATAGGGGGTACCTTCCTCTTCTTACCTTGGTTTTTGTGCCTGTTTTTTAAAATGGTTTATTCTCCCAAAATGCAAGGAGTAACATTCTATCATTACACACGTGTATAATGATTACAAATCTATTCATTCACGCACACATACATTATGTATGCATTGTATGTATGCATAAAACGTTTTTTATATCCTGAAACATTTTGAGTATAGGGGGTACCTTCCTCTTCTTACCTTGGTTTTTGTGCCTGTTTTTTAAAATGGTTTATTCTCCCAAAATGCAAGGAGTAACATTCTATCATTACACACGTGTATAATGATTACAAATCTATTCATTCACGCACACATACATTATGTATGCATTGTATGTATGCATAAAACGTGTGGGTGCGTGCATGTCTATGTGTTTATTTATATATGTGTGTGTATGCATGCATGTACACACACACAAATACACACACTATGTGTGTATGTATATATGTGTGTGTATGCATGCACGTACACACACACAAATACGCACACATTATAAGTATACAGTGTTGTATATGCATTATATGTATAATATAGTGTATATTTTCAAATTGGTCAGTAATAATTCTGTCGACTGCTTATTCACAGTTTCAAGCTGTGTCTTAGCTCCCTTCCTAATAAGGCGTTTTTAACCATCTCTGTCTTAGCATCCTTTGATGAACAATGGTGATTGTTATTTTTAGTTTCGGCTTTGCTGGTGCTTCAGACATCTGGAAATAGTGTCTTTTTCAGAGCTTTATCTGGCAGGGTGTGGAACATAACGTGTGTAAGATGTTCCTTCCTTTTTGGGGGGACAATTAAAGGCTTTGCATGCATCGTCATGATTGGTTCACATTTAATCAGTGAGTGGTTTAAAATGTTTGGGTCAGAATTGCGTTTGGTTTTAATCCTCTATTTAATAATCCGTTGTGCACGCAGTGGTTCTTTCCAGGGTGTTTGCCCGGGAAGGTAATTCTCTGCCCCTCAAGGCAGGTAGAGCCCCTTTTGTTTTGAACGGGGCAATCTCTGTCTTGTGCAAATACTGTATATCAAACATTATGCGGAGTGTTTGGTTCTATGTTTGCTCAACAGGATTGTTTGCGAACTTTGGAACTGGACTTTTGGGAAGTGAAACAAAACGGAATGATGCGTAACAATAAGCTTGTTCAGCTCTGGATTTGTTATTTCTGCTATGCTGAGTGTTTAGAAGATGATTGCTTTAATTGCAAAGGCTTTGGCAGGTGTGTGCATGCTCCCTTTCTGAGATGGCCGTCCAGCTGCCAAAAAGGCAAGTCAGTACTTGGTTTAAAAAACTGGCTGGCCTTTTTGGCAAAGAAATTGCTGCAAGGAACAATAACAAGTGAACCCTCTGAGGCATGGCGTTCTCTGCGTGGGTCTTTCTCTTCTTTGGTTCTTAGTCTTGCCAGTAATTAAAGGCCTCGGATTATGACAAACCAGAGCTGAGTTGTGGAACGCACGTCTTTGATATGCTGAAGGTTCTAGGCCCAGTTCTCAGTAATTCCTAGTAGGGCTAGAAAAACCTGTATTCTGAAACCCTTGAGGGTTGCTGCTGGAGCTGTGTAGATAAATAAACCAGCAATTATAACAATTATAACTATGTATAGTGCTTTGAAGTGTTGGTCTCATGGCCTTGGGGATTCCCACCCAAGTCCATTTTCCCTGTGGCGCCATGGCAAAAAGTGACACGGCTGTTCTTCTCGCTTCCAGGATCGGCACAGCCGCGCTGGCTATTCAGGTGGTTGGCAGCAACTGGCCGAAGCCCCATTATACTTTGCTGATCACAGGCCTGTGCAGATTCCAGATCCTGCAGCTGGTGAAGGAGAAGCCCTACCCTGTCGCGGACGTGGAACAGCTGGATCGGCTGGAGCAGTTTACCAACAAGTCCGCCTCCGAGGAAGAACTGGGGGAGCTGTCGGAGCAGTTCTATAAATACGCAGTGCAGGTCAGGGGGCTTGAATCAGAGTGTGCTGGTTGAAAGGCCTGTTGCAGAAGCACATTTGGTGGTTGACTGTAGACTTTGGGTCCCCAGATGTTCTTGGACTGCAACTCGCAGAAGCCTTCACCGCTTGCTGCACTGGTCAGGATTTCTGGGAGTTGTAGTCCAAGAACATCTGGGGACCCAAGGTTGGGAACCACTGCAGTAGAGGAACAGTCCATGGTACGTGCTTTGTGGGTTCAAGCCTCTCTTGGGTGTACACAAACATAGGAAGCTGCCTTATACTTTACCAGATATTGGATCAGTCCTGCCAGTATGATTAAGTCTAACTGGTAGCAAAGGCTCTTTAGGGTTTTGGAAAAGATCCCCAGCCTTATCTGGACATCCCTAATATTCTGTAGCTGTTTCCCATCCAGGTTCTGACCAGGACCTTGCTTGGCAGAGTTATGCGAGTCCTCTTTCTGAGTCTCTGGAGAGCGGCTTCCAAACAAGTAGACGGTCTTAGGCTCGATCAGAAACAGAACCTTTGGCTCGCCAAATGTTTTGGCCTAGATCTCTCATTCTGGCCAGTAATAAAACACAGCAAGAGTTATAGTGCAAAATATTTGGAGGCACGCTGTTCCTTGTTCACAGCCTTGGGTCCCCAAATATTCTTTGACTGCAAGTCCCAGGAGCCTCCATCACTAGCTGTGCTGGCCAGAATTTCTGGGAGTTTTTGTCCCAAGGACATCTGGGGACCCAGGATTGGAAGCCACTGCTCTAAGTAAATCCATTGTCTCGCTTGGATTATGGCAGCTTAAATATATATGTCCTTTGCAGTTCTTCAGCTGCATATTACCTTCTAAATTGTATACTTCTGATGTGGTTCCAAGCTACTTCTTCCAGTCTCAAGTCTGTATTGAGCCCAGCCTGTGCAAATTTTGCCTCTGCAACCTTCACTACCCTGTGGTTTCCTTTGTGGGAAGACATGACGAAATAGTCTGAGATGCTGTGGGACAACCGAGCATGTTTGGTGTGTGATGACTTACCTGTTTCCTCACCTGTGAACAGTGACCCTCAAGGTTTGCATTAGCTGTGCTAGGAACCCTCCAGATACTCACCTACATGAAAAAAGATCCAGGAGGTCTTTTTGTGTTGCTGATCTTCCCATACTCTGGAAGGTGGTCCCAAAGGCTCTAGAATTAGGTCCATACATGCGTGCTAAAGTACACCTTGCTGGCTTCAGGAAAAAGATGCCTGTGTGATGCGAAGCGAGTGAGCTCTGCAGATAATTACACGGTGAGACATTTGGATTCTGCAGGAAAACAAACCCCCCTCTAGTGCTTGAGTCATCAGCACAGACTGAAGCAGATGTTTTGATGCTACTCATCCTTCATTTTTTGGGGGTAGATTTGCCTGAAGACAATTGTCTTGGGAAAGACTGAAACCGAGAAAATGACTAAGAGGGTTTTAGAAGACTTTGTTTTTAACGTTGGGTCATGTTTTTGGTGTTTTGGAGCTGAGGGATCCAAAATAAGAAGAGTGCTAATGAGTTCATTGTGCTTTTATTTCTTTTCTTCCTTCCTCTCCATGGTGCAGTTGGTTGACATGTTGGATATGTCAATTCCCGCCGTGGCTAAACTGAGGCGCCTGTTGGACAACCTGCCGAGAGAAGCTTTACCGGACATATTAACCTCAATCATCCGTACCAGCAACCAGGAAAAGCTCCAGGTATGGAGCGTGGCCTTCGTTTAGGCGGAATGCAACATCCGTATTTATTTCAGACTTATAGCTTTGACTTGGAAGTCCAGTTATTTTGACAGATCTGTTCCCACTTTTCTTCCATAGCCCAAAGATGCAAATCAGGTAATGTCGAACAGCTTACTCTAATGTCACAGGGATGGAATCAGTTCATTGCTGCTTGCACCCTGAGCGATGATGCGGCTGCAGTTGGTTTAATTGGGTCTTATTATCCAGAGGACCCTGCAGTACCAGAGATCAAGAAAGACCCGCTTTCTTGTAACTCATTCTGCATCAGTCTTTTTCCTGTACGATTACAGAGTTGTATTTCAAATGGCATCAACATTTTACGGGTGTGTGAAAAATACAAGTGTACAGTGAAAATGTATTGCTACCTCATGCTATTTTATTTTATTTAGATTTTAGATGCTGTTGGCTTGGAAGAACGGTTCAAGATGACCATACCATTGCTCGTTAGGCAGATCGAAGGCTTGAAGCTCCTTCAGAAAACCAGGAAACCCAAACAGGATGATGACAAGAGGGTGGGCTTTCTTTCTTTCTTTGCTTCATGTAGAAAGTCTGTTTTAATATTACACATTTAAGTTCACATAATACAAATGTAAGTCACAAGGTAAGGATTCTCCCATGCTTGTTTATGATTTAACAACAACGGATGGGGTCTGAGGAAGCCAGAAGCCCGGAGGAACCTCGGCTGATGGGCGTAGACATTACACACCCCAAGGGTCACTGTCAAGATGTTCCGAGAGCTCAAAAAGCCACATTTCTCTACTGTCGGAAATGCAGTTTGGGGCATTTGGAATAGTTTCCTGTTAGGCATACAAAGCACAGCTGCTTCCCTGCATCAGCTTTCAAGAAGGCAAAGCACAGCTCTAGTCTGAACATGCCGACTGAGCAGGATCAGCTTCCAGGAAGAAGCTCAGCTGATCTTAGCTCAGGCTGAGTGGTAATGCGCAAGACTGTGCCGTGGGTGGATGTTCAGAGCATAACTTGAATAACTGGAAGGTGTGGTTTTCTGTGGCCTGATCAGATCAGAGTCTATATTAACTTCTGTACTCTACAACAGATAGTTATTATCAAGTAAATTAGAGCCACTGTCAAAAGCACAGTTTAAATATGGTACTGGGAGGTTGAAATTTAGAATAGATTGCGCCCCCCCAGTTCATAGCCAGTTTTCCTATTGTTCAAAAAACACATTAAAATATTGATTTTGGGGGAGGCATTTCAAGACATCCTCCGTTTATGGTTATCCAGTTTTATTTTTTGTTATATTTTGCAGTCTGTATTTGGTCTGATGCTGCCATCTTGAGTAAAGATGCTTTGTATGGCTGGAGAGTTTTGTTTATAGTTTATATATATATATACTGTATATATATTTATTTGCAGGTTGGGTGGGATGTAGTTGTGTTCTTGATGTTTATTTCATTTTTGGAAACTGCGCAGAGTAGTGGTGGTGCCACTAGATGAGCGAGATTGATAGAGTAAACCCAGTGAACCAGCAAAATTTACATTTTGTAAAATGTCTTGAAGCTTTTAAGTATTTGCATTTGGATTTATTTCAGTTTTTGATGGTTTTGCAATAGAAGCAATAGGGTCACAGCTGCTCCTACTTTTTGCCATTTCAAAAATATTTAGGTCATAGCTATACGTCCCATCCGAAGGATCGCCCACATCCCAGGCGCTGCCGAAGACGAGGAGGACGAAGAAGACCATGATGATATTGTCAGCCTTGAGAAGAAAGTTCGGACCTCCAACATGCCTGAGCAGGCTTTGAAAGTCTGCATAAAAGAATTGAAAAGGTTAGCTATTGTACTTCTATAAGGTTTTTATATTCTTTTTTTGAAAAATCAGATATACACGCTGGAGCTCTCGCTTGATTTCCCTTTAATCTTTGTTATGGAATATCACCTTTTGCTTGTAGAAAAAAAAAGGCTTCTGAGGCCAACTCTCAGCGAATCATTAAAACAATACATTTTGTGTGAGTGAAGGATTACACGGAATATCTTGAAGCTCCTTCGTCTCTTTTTGTTTTGAGACTTCTTGATGCTGAAAATGCACAGATAGTGATGCCGGATTCCTTAACTTCCCTGTAGAACTTATTATTTTGATTCAAAGCATTCTCTGGTACGACCCAAAGACAAGGACACATTTTTAGTTTATGGAAGGCCTGTGTTTAATCTTTAAATAATATCCACATTAGAATTTTTCTTTTAAGAAATCAGAATTGGCTAGATCCATTCTCAGTTTCAACTGGAACAAACCTGTTGAATGAGAGGGATTTACATAACTCTTGTCTTCAAAAGTCCCTTCGTTTAGTGGTTCGTATCCCAAAAAATACATCTATTGTCCAATTTTTGACATGTGTTCCTGAGTCTATTTACTCACAAGTAAAGATCTATATTGTAGAATGAGACTTCCTGTTTGGTCAGTGTGCATAGACCTGATGGCCTTATTGTAAGCAGGTCTGCTCAAAAGTAACTTCCATTGAGTTCAATCATTTCCTTCCTAGTGCACAAGTTTAGGATCACAGCCTTTAGTTCCATAAAACTAGACCTGGATTTTGGTTTTTAGAGCTATGATGTTTCAATATTAGGAATTTTGAATTTATTGTATTTTATGATATTTTATGACATTCGTAAGCCGCCCTGAGTAGACACTATCTAGGGGGGGCGGGGTAGAAATCTAATTAAATAAAAATAAAATAAAATAAATTTAAAATAAATGAATTTTGTAGACGAACCTGTCTGTTATACTTACATCCATTGTTCAATAAAACATAAAGGGATATGTAGAGAGGTCCCTGGAAGTCTTCCTCTCAGGTAATTAGCAAAATCTGCTTAGCTTTGAAAAGGCTGCACTGAGTCAACATTGCCCCCCCCAGCAAGCTGGGTACTCATTTTACCGACCTCGGAAGGATGGAAGGCTGAGTCAACCTTGAGCCGGCTACCTGGGATTTGAACCCCAGGTCGTGAGCACAGTTTTAGCTGCAATACAGCGTTTTAACCACTGCGCCACGAGGCTCATTTCCTTCCTAGTGCACAAGTTTAGGATCACAGCCTTTAGTTCCATAAAACTAGACCTGGATTTTGGTTTTTAGAGCTATGATGTTTCAATATTAATTGGGAATTTTGAATTTATTGTATTTTATGATATTTTATGACATTTGTAAGCCGCCCCGAGTAGACACTATCTGGGGGTGGTGGTGGTAGAAATCTAATTAAATAAAAATAAAATAAAATAAATTTAAAATAAATGAATTTTGTAGACGAACCTGTCTGTTATACTTACATCCATTGTTCAATAAAACATAAAGGGATATGTAGAGAGGTCCCTGGAAGTCTTCCTCTCAGGTAATTAGCAAAATCTGCTTAGCTTTGAAAAGGCTGCACTGAGTCACAGGGTATATAACCTTAATTAGAGGCAGATACCATCATATTAATAATTTTATCCCCAAGACTGTGTCCTGGTGTAATGTTACAGTATTACTGTGCTTGAATTCCTAATTTCTTAGAAGATAACATGTACAAGTCCAGTATTAGGCTACTAATGATTGATTGTATCTGTCTTTCCAGATTAAAGAAAATGCCTCAGTCAATGCCAGAATACGCCTTAACCCGGAATTATTTGGAACTGATGGTAGAACTGCCCTGGAACAAAAGTACAAAAGGTAGAGTCAGCTTCATATCCTTTCTTAGGATCTTCAGTCTAATTGCTGGTGCCAACGAGAATCAACTGGTGGAACAAATTTATGAATGGCGAGTCAGCTCTAACATAAAGCCTGTTGGCTCAATGCCTCTGTTTTGGTTGAAGCCATAGGACTGCAAGTGATTTAAAAAAATCAAATCAAATCAGGGGCTCTTTTACTTAAATGCAGGCAGAGTAAAGCTAGACATTTGAAGACAAGGAATTATTTGGCTTCATACTTAAACCCCTTTCATGTTTGGTCAACAGATTGCCTGGATATCCGGGCAGCCAGGATTCTCCTGGACAATGATCATTATGCGATGGAGAAGCTGAAGAAAAGAGTGCTGGAATATTTAGCGGTCAGGCAACTCAAGAACAACCTGAAGGGCCCCATCCTTTGCTTTGTGGGCCCCCCTGGAGTTGGAAAGACCAGCGTGGGAAGATCTATAGCAAAGACATTGGGGCGAGAATTCCATCGGATTGCCTTAGGCGGAGTCTGTGATCAGTCGGACATCCGAGGACATCGGTGAGTTAATACCTTTAGATGACAACATTATTGTCTCTTTGAAAATGGTGCTACAATTTCTAGTTTTTATATATAGTTTTAAGTTGCCTGATTAATTTGAAATGCCTTGTGGTTAGAAAGGGATTTTAATTTAAATTATGTTCGGGAAACAATGGTGTATTTTTCTTAGATCTTCCTCTTTCCTTCTGAATTGGCAACCACCTCTTCCTCCTGCAGAGATACGCCCCCCCCCCCTAAAAATAATGCTTCAGAGGGCTGGAAATCCCTCCTGAGCAGACTTCTGTCTTCATGGAAAGCTGCAGCAAAATGGGAAGGAAAAGGATCTTAATTCCACTGGTTTTGGATACCCTACTCTATTCACTCTTGACCTGAAGGGTGCAGCCCCTTGAAAATCTAAATATCTTTGTTGTAAAGGGTAAAGTGCATAATCCATCAGCAGTCAAGACAGGTGTTAGGCTTTCTATTATTTCTACAAAGCAATGGAAGAATCTCTGGATCATGCTAAGGTTGTAAAGGAGTTGTAGCAGTAGAAACACCTCAATGAAATAATGCATTCAGAGCATTTAGATGAGACCCAGTCAAAAGATCAGCCAGGAGTGAGAAGCAGCAGGGAAAAGACTCATCGTAGCTTGATCTGAAGGAGGAAGAAATGCAGCAGCAGGCAGTGTGAAGAAGTTGTGACATCTGCCCACATGTGCTCTGTTGAAATAGGATTCATTGACTGGGGAAAAGGCTATAGTTTTTCAAAATGAACTGGTGCGTTGAGACTTACGGGCCCCAATGCGAGTTGGAAGAGCGTAAATCAAAAAGTGTACTTCCTATGAAGTCATATTTAGGGGCCATAAGAAGGAGCTGAATGTCTGTATTTAGCGCACATTGTCTCTAGGGGAAGGAAGTGTGTGTGTGTTTATGTAAGAGAAGGAAGAGGGTTCATTCTTCCACACACAAGTAGGCTATTCTGCTTACATCCTGTGCGATTCAAGTTTGCATGGGCAATAAATGCCTTCCTATGCCGCTGTAGCAGCCCAACTCAGTCTAAGGTGCTCCAGATGGGTAAGGGCTAGCGTAGTTTAGCATTTTTATGTCCAAGAATAGCAGGGAAGGACATAATTTGGCCCTCAGTTTTTTGTGGATGAAGTTCCACTTCTTCAGGCTTAGACCAACCCCAGGGTTTTTCTGGATAGTGCAGAAAAACTGTAGACAAAACTCCAGAAATGGATGATAGATGTCTGTGAGAGGTGAGGTAAGACATTTTGAGGCTACTGTCTTGAGCGGCTTTGTAGTCTGGTTGGAATTTTTACACCCTTGTTCTTAAGAGCAAAAAGTTGCCAATTACTCTGTGATTGCATGTGAAGTAAGTCTGTCCCACACCACGAGCGAAATCTGCTTTGTCCTCTCGGCTCCCAGTTGTGTTGCACCCACTGTTGCACCATTTCTGAGTTTGCAGAAAGATTTCCGGTTGTTTCTTTGTGTAAGTCCTGTTCCCTGGAACAGGTTGACCTCCATCTTGCCCAACAGCAAGCTGGAAATGGTGTGTGAAACTTTGCAGGTTGCGCAATACATTCCTCCTTCAGGAGGATGCTGGCTCTTGTTTTAGAACCCCTCCCCCAAAATCCCCACTGTTTTTTTTGGGGGGGTGAGATTTTGCCAGAAAGGCCTGGGGCAGCCCATAGAGCATCTGAATATTGATGGTGGGAAATGTCATCTTTGAGGGTGCTCACTCCCGCTGTATATTTCCCTCACATGCCAGATAGGGGAGGAATGGTATGAGCCATTGCATGGGGATTGACTTAACACTGTTACGTACATTACTATGCATCAGGTCTAAGTAGTTTTATGTTTATTCACACCATGCTGACTATTGGAGTGGGGTTGAAGCAGGAAGACTTGGTAACAACATCCCTCATCCATTCGTGGATCAGATTTTTGCTTTTAAATAAAGATTATGATGGAAAGTTGCTGTTCAGCTGAGAACCACTAGAGGTTGTTCGGTGCTTTAAATCTAGCAGTGTTAAGGAAAGCACACTTAGTGGGCGAATACCTGCTCCATACCCTGAAAGAACCGCAGAGCAATAGAGGGCACCCTTTCCATGGGGCCAAGGGCTCATCTTATTCTGCCCTCTTGACATTTCCCTGGGTTCCATGGAAACTCACTTTTGAGGTGCATTCATTACTTTTGAAGTTATAATCTTAGATCTTATTAGAACTGCAGGGCTGGAAGGGACCCTCTGGATCATGGAGTCCAGCCCCGGTCAAGGAAGCCCAGTGGGGAATCGAACTCCCAACCTCTGGCTCTGCAGCCAGATGTCTAAATCAGTATCTAACAGTTGGTTTTGTTGAGTGCTAGGATCTGCATGTCAAGCATGGCAGCCACTTCATATCTCTTTGTACAGCGTTTGGAGGGGGGAGAGAAGACACGGATGGTGCACACTCTAGGCTGTTGTTGATCACAGATGTTCAGATGCTACTTGCTGATGCGGAGTAGGCTTCTCAGACCTTTGGATGCATCTGCTGCTTAGCCTCTCGTTGCTTCTCTTTGCCCTCCCTGTTTGATGTGAGATCTGGAGTGAACATTTTCAGCAGAGGGTGTTCCTACATCACCTGCAGTGGAGTGCACCAGGGACGGCTTCTTTGTCGCCTCATGGTGGAAGCCAGCGTATGGAGTGTGGCTTCTCATGAGCCATTCAAAGAGCATCCAGAATTAAGGACATCTTACATGCTGAAGAGGTTGCCCATGTGTGTGGTTCTGTCTTCTGCTAGAACACTGGGGATTCAATACTGTGCTTTTTATTCTTCAAGGGAAGTTAACTTCATAATATGGAACCCAAACAGCCACATTCCACCTGTTCGTGGCTTTGCCAAGCAGCTGCTCTCTCCGTATGAAAACGTTTTGTCCTCTTGCTTTAGACAGAGAGAGGCTAAAGTTCTTTGGACAAATAGAATAGGAGACACTGTTAAGAATTTCAGCTTCATTCCTAACATAGATTTGCTTTCTTTGAGAAAAAAGACTCTGGGGACCTAGTCAGACTCTGGAAGAAAGCCACTTGTTTTCAGGCATCCCCATATTTGGGTAAGTAAAAGTAAAATCAGTGCAGGGTTAAGAAAAATATATATATATATATCTAGCCACTCTACTATAACCATAATAAGACTCCTTGCTATGCTTTCTCTACATATTTGGCATGTTTTGTTTACGAGTGCCAGATGAGATGAGGGCTCCCTTCTACTATATTTGAAAGCGTCTAGTTAAACAAATGAGATTTGTGGAATTACGAATCCTGATTTATAATTGTAATTAACAATACTACTGTATTTCTCTTCCGCCCATCTGCTGAGCAGCTCAGAGTGATCGTAGTTATTGTGTGCCATCAAGATGACTCCCAATCTACGACAGCCATTTCCAGGGTTTTGCTAGGTAGAAAGAAGCAGCCGCCTTCTGGTGGCATTTCTAGGGCTCTGCAGCTTCCCTAAAGCCACACAGATTAGCCCTTCTCCCTGGAGGCACCACGAGGGATTGAACTTCCAAACCTCTGGTTCCACTGCTAATGTCCAGTCAATTCGGATGCCAAAGGGTAGACACTCTGCTTCTATAATATTTTATCTATTTAGCTAGAGAGTGTCCAGTCAATTCAGATGCCAGAGGGTAGACACGCGAATAAGGAAGCAGAAGAGGGAGTTGGGCAGGGAACATGAACCCTCTGCACATGCTCCAAGAGCCAGACCTTGATTTGGCCATAACGTCTGGGTGAAGCAACAGGATGTTGGTGAGGCCCTCTTCTTTAGAGGTTTTTAATATTTTATCTATTTAGCTAGAGAGTGTCCAGTCAATTCAGATGCCAGAGGGTAGACACGCGAATAAGGAAGCAGAAGAGGGAGTTGGGCAGGGAACATGAACCCTCTGCACATGCTCCAAGAGCCAGACCTTGATTTGGCCATAACGTCTGGGTGAAGCAACAGGATGTTGGTGAGGCCCTCTTCTTTAGAGGTTTTTAAGCAGAGGTTGGGTGGCTGTAGGTCCAAGATGCTTCAGCCAACGCTGAATTCCTAGGGCGTGCTTGTGTGTATGCATGCGTGTGAACTAGGTCACCTTGGCATCCTTCCAACTCAAGTCTATGCTTTTATATTTTCCTGACGCTTAAAGTGCTTAATATAGTATAGTGGTAGGGTGATGATTAGGATAATTGAATGGCTGTGTAATTTGTTGCCACTCTCCAGCAAATGGAGATTTCTGACAAAGAAGAGTGTCATTACCTTTGTGCCTCCTCGGTCTAATTTTGGCCATTAACCTTGTTAAGTTCAAAGGAATGCCCGCCCACACACCCTCTCTCTCTCTCTCTGTCTGTCAAACAGAAACCGAAAATGGTTTTGCTGTGAGCTTAGAAGATTTCTCGCAGCTTATTTCCTTAAAGGGGGCATAAGCTTATTAAAGCCCCCTGCTTATTCTGGAGAGACAGTTGAAATCTAAGACTTTGGGTACCGTTTTAAAAAAAGCTGGGACTAGTGGCAACCTAAAGATTCCAAGCCAAAGAGACTTTAGGGTCACAAACAGCAAAGGCACCCCAGTGCAGGCAGATAGAAATCCCTGTAGTTACTGCCTGAACAGGGTTGAGAAATGAAAACTATGCAGTGGTAGGAAATTTTTTCCATCCGAGAGACAGCCCACCTGCTCCATGGTTGCTCGGAGGGTACAGAATCTTCACAGACACAACCGTGAAGGAGAAACAGTGAATCAGGAGACAGCCCTGCCCAATCTTATGCATGGCCACTTTGGGGCTGCCCCCTGCCCACACCGGATGGGTTCCTTGCATCTGTCCATTGGCACCCATGTGTTGAAGGAGTTTTCTGCCCTTGCGTTGTGGTGATTGGCTTGCAGGTCGTGCTTTCACCATTTCCTTCTAATCACACCAAGCAGGAGATTTCCAAGATAACTTATTTCCTAGTGGCTCGAAAGGAGGAGGAAGTGGGAAACTGAAAATTTCTCCTGAAACCCCCTTTCGCCCAGTTTATCTCAAGAGTTGGCTACACTCTGTTGGCCTTTGAAGATTGGTGTCCCGGTTTCGTTTCTCTGCCTGTCTGTTTGACGGCACTTTTCAGTCCTATGGACAGCCGATACATCTCTCCTCTGCCTAGGTGTTCTGAAATGAAATATGAAGGTTTTTGTAGCCTTTACTGCATAATGCTTTATGGCAGTATTTGTTCAAAAGAAATATAGAGCATTTGGTCTGGCAAAAATATACTCAGTGATATGTATTTTTTTTAAAAAAAAGGTACAATTTGAGCACGAGAACAGATTAAAAGCACAAATGACAGGGGTCACTAAAAAGAAATAATGGGACCCAGCCAGATAAAACCTCTTTGGCAGCAACCAGCTAAAAACACCAGACGCCCGTTTGAATAAAAACATCGTTTCCTGCTGGTGGAATGACAAGGGAATAGAAGCCACCCTAGTCGCCCCTGAAGAAGAGTTCAAGAGCCATACTGATTTGCTTCTATAATATTTTATCTATTTAGCTAGAGAGTGTATATCTTACCTACCCATTTAAAAAAAAGTCACAATGGCTGACAGTAAAAAAAAAGTACATTTGATGGTGTGTTCTGTGTAGATTCAGTTAAATGAAATGTGCAGGTGTAAGTCATTAGCTTTTCACTGTGCAAAGCTTTTGCTATTCCCTGATTTAATTATATCTGTAGTTGGAATGGAGGCATATTTTAAAATGTAGTCATCTTTTGGTGCCGGAAGACTCTCTATATGAGACTTAATATGTGCTTTTGCAGATTTCTTTTTTCCAAACTGGAGGCGAGCAGTAGCAACGTGAAACCCCCACCCCCTGCAAGTTTCAAAGCAAGGTCTTGTACTTGAGGCCTTTAGGAGTGGCAATTATCTATTTTTGGCCAGATGATAGTGAGGATCTGGGTCTGGGCTTTAGATCATTAAGAGGGACTCTTAAGGGCTACAAAAATGGCCTGGGGAGAGGAATGCATGTGGCCAGATGACCCACGTGATTCTCATTCGTAGCATAGATGATAGATATGCCTAACGCTGGATCAGACCATTGACCCATCTTGTCCAGTGGCATTAACAATGAATCATAGGGGTTCTCCATGGTTTCAGGAAGGCACCTTTCGTATCCCTACCTTGAGATGTCAGGGACTTGAAACCGGAACCCTCTGGGTGTGAAGCCGATGTTCTGAGAACGAAGTATATTCAAGAGAAAATGAGATAAGCATCTGTTGGATAGACTTTGATGTGGATTCTTGAATTGAGCAGGGGGATTGGACCCAATGGTCTTACAGGCTCCTTCCAACTCCATTTTTCTAGGATTTCATGATTCCATATCTGATTGGACCAGCGATCTGATCCTGTGAAGGTGATTCCCATGTCTGTGACCAGACAGCCGTTCTGCTATTGTTCCAAGTTTTTTTTAAAAAAACACAAGGTGCCCCATGCTGTTTTTTATTTAGATCATATCTGGTTATTTAGCAGGAGAAGGAGAGGAGAGACAGAGCTCATAAAACATTCTTAAATTGTCTAGGCTTGCATCTTTTTCTTCTGTTGGGTTCCATATTTCACTGCCTTCCCCCTCTTTCTCCCCATCAGGCGTACCTATGTCGGTAGCATGCCCGGGCGGATCATCAATGGGTTGAAAACGGTCGGGATGAACAATCCAGTGTTCCTGCTCGATGAGGTTGATAAGCTCGGGAAGAGCCTGCAGGGCGATCCTGCAGCTGCTTTGCTTGAGGTGAGAAATGTGACGAGCTTCTCCTAGCCTGCCCCTTATACCCATTTTCAACTCAGCAGTTACAGCAGGCTCGCTGAACTGGTGCCTCCTTTTCTAAATTTTGGGACTCAAGAGCCATACTGAAGGTGCAATAAGAAGTGCCAGTCCTGTTAGTGCAAGGATGAGCAAAGTACGTCCCTGCAAGGGTCCTTGTGTAGACCATGAAAATTTTCCCAACAAAGAAATGTGTAATGCCATTCTTTTTGAAGTCTCCAAGAGTTGTGATTTATCTTTTAAATTATATCAATAGCAAACGGTCTCATTTTTAAAAATCTAAAAGTGGACTTCCGGCCACTTCGTATCTTGGTCCTTTCGTTCTTTGGTAGGACATTTGCTTCATGTGGGACAGAGGATGACGGCAGGACACCCTTCTGTTCTGGGGCTGGTTCCCAGTCCATTTACAGGGAACCAGTGTTGCTTTAATTATGTTCCAACTACCGATGCAAACTAAGAGGGTTGGCTTGCCCAGGATTGCATAGAAACATTGGATTAAGACAATATTGGAGATGCTTTCGGGAATATTGGAGGTTGGTAGCTATTTTGGTAGCTAGGCTTATGGAAACAAAAACAAAAAGGAGAGGACTTGGGCAGCTGTTAGATCTTTAGAGTGATTATCAAGAGACAGAGCTGAAATTCTCAGAGAAAGGCATTTCTATTTGGAACATACAGCCGGAGGAAGGAAGTGGGGGAGGACCCTCCAGTAACATTGGTAGAATAGCAAATATTTTCAGCTAGCAGTTGCTAAACAGAGGAATTCGTCTTCTTGCAACCTTGTCCGTGGGGGACCTCAAAGCAGCGTGATGGCGCTGTACGAGTACTGTGGTAAAGTCTCCTTTTTCAGTGTGGTTGAAATCAAGAGAAGGCCAGTAGTCTATAAATAGGAACTGAGATCCAGCTATGGAGGATTGTTAAAAGGCTTCACATGCAGCCTCAGAGTATCCAGCTTCAGAGTTTATAACTACCTTTCCCAGGAATAGACCCTTGTCAGCAGCAGGAATGGAGACGTTTTAGCCATTCTGATGTTCTAACGACCACTCCCCATAATCTCTTACTTTGCTTTGGCTGGTTGGGACTTCGGGAAATCCAAAACATCTGGAGGGCGAAAGTTTCCCAACCTCTGCTCTTCTGGTTATCAGCCTTCTACAGGAGACCTCTGTGCGTTAAATTCTTTCTTAATTCATTGTTAGAGCTTCCTGGAAAAGTTAATACGGGCTAAATATTTCCTTACATTCTGCTGAAATATTTCCCATTTGGGAATAATCTCATATTCTAGAGGTAAAGAGATATTTCTTTTTCCTAGACTTGAGCATTGAATATTTATGCACAAGGCGTAAGTAGCTGTGTAGGGTTGGTAGTTCAAGTTGTCATGAAAGCTTGGGAGTGGATTCTGGAAAATGACAACATGATATTAGGGGTGGTGTGTGCTTGAAAGGGAACAAATATTTCCTGCCTTATGCACGGGGAGAGAAAAGTCAGAATTTTCAGCATCAGATACGTTAACTGCCCAGATGGTGGGGCTGAGAAGCGTCGGTTGCTTGAGCAAAAATGAATCTCTTCCTATTTCCAGTTACTGTCCATCAACCGGGGAACATTGGCGTTATATTTAGATGACCCCTGTTGAAGGTTGGAAGAGACAGAACATGATCCATGTCCTTTTGATGGGAGGAACATGTGTAGATAGATGGAGAAAGCAGGCTAAGAGAAGGGGCAAGCTGCTGACATATTCACAAAGATTATGTTGCGGTCTGCAATATGGTGGGAATAAAGATATTGAATGCTTATCGGTTTCCGTATACCCTATGTGTGTCAGGGATATGTATCAACCAGCGGTCTGATAAAACAGACTGCAAGCACTGTGGGCTCAGAATCACTACAGTTAGCTGCTGTCTACCTTGAACTCATCTAGACCACCCCACCCCATCTTAATGCCCTAAATATATAGAATCATAGAATAATTGAATTGGAAGGGGCCTCTAAGGCCATCAGGTCCAACCCCCTGCTCAGTGCAGGAATCCAAATCAAAGCCAATGTCTGACAGATGTCCAGTTTTTCTCTTGAAGGCATCCAGTATTGGAGCACTCACCACTTCCACAGGTAATTGGTTCCAGTGTCGTACTGCTCTAACAATTAAGGAGTTTTTCCTGATACTCAGCTAAAATCTGGTTTCCTCTAACTTGGGTCCTTTATTACATGTCCTGCATTCCGGGATGATCAAGAATAGTTCCTGCCCCTCCTCTGTCCCACTTCCTGAAATCCCCAGAGCTGGAATCCAGCATCTAGTAGCAATTTTAAGACGAGTCACAGTCAGCGTGGCATAGCAATTAAGATTGTTGGACTGGAACTCGACAGACGTGGGTTCAAATCCGGATTTTGTCATGAAACTAAATCAGGTGACCTTGCCCCAGCCACAGTCTTTTAGCCCGACCTACTTTGTGGGAGTGCTGAGAAGCATAACATGGGCGGCAGGAGAACAATGTCCACTACCTTGAATTCACGCTCAGGAAGAGCAGGACAAAAATGAAATAATTTAAAAGAATTATTAATAGAAGCTTCCAAACTATTTTAGATGTACATGGCATTAACAGTTCATCTCTAAGTCTTCTTGTTTTATTTCTTTAGAATATTGCATTTCTCTTTTTTTAAAAGTGCGGTAATGAAAGCTAATTGAGATGGCTTGCTATTTTTGACAAATGTTCAAGCTCACTGCCTCCATGCATGATGCATAATTTTAATTAGCAGCACTCTTCTGTGCCATAATTCAATCCACTGAGCAAAAGGGATGTATCCGTGCCATTATGGAAAAGGATAAATTATCTTGACAGGAGCAGGCAGTGGCTGAGGCATCCAGGAGGTCCTGCCATGTACGGCGTGAGAACTTTTCATGTGAAAGCTGCATTTGCTAATTTATCGCTGTAGGGAAGAGGGAGGAGGGGGTTTGCTGAGCCACAATATTGGCGGTGGGCGTGGATCCGAAAGTCCTCTGTAGGCAGTGTGATGACAGGGAGGTGTCCTGCATTTACAGTCTTAGGAAGCCTCTGTGATTACTGAGCATTGCAGAAGAAATCGCATTTCACAATGAGATTGTTGTGTCTGACCTTAACCTTAGGCAATGTGCATGCAAATTAAACATTGAGCACAGGGCTGGCGGAATACAACAGAAGGACAGTTTCTGTGTTTGTTGGCCAAAGAATTTGTCCACATGGGGAATACTGGGGGGTGAACACTTCTCGCCACTGGCACTAAATGACTTGTGAACACGATGGATTCATGTCCCATTGTATCATCTTCCCCCTTATGTGAATTATGTACAATGCTAATCTTGCTTCTGATCTTGGATTTAAAAAATAATTTTATTATTCTTATGTCAAAATTATATCTAATAGTTTTTTTTTAAACTTTCCACCTGGTTTGGATATCAGCGAGTCCAATTTCATTTTATTATTCTTATGTCAAAATTATATCGGATAGGTTTTTTTAAAACTTTCAACCTGGTTTGGATATCAAAGAGTCCAATTTCCTTCAAGACGGGCATTTCCCCCCCCCCCAATGTTTTAAAAGTAGGTGTCTCGTGATCTTGGTTAGGTTTGCACAGGATGGGTGGCTTTTCCCTGAAACAGCACCAATAACTGGGAATCCGCCTGAGGTTATGCCCAGCAGCGGCTCTGTGCGTTGATTGAAGAGTTGTGCTATGGGCTCCAATAAACCAAGGAGAGTCTGCATTGGGTTGAAATGGAAGGTTCTGCTAGCTTCGGACATGCTGGGACTCCTCTTTAATCAAACCACGCCCACCTAATTTCTCTCATCACGTTAATTACAAGGTTACATTTGCCACGCATAGGATGTTCCTTTTGAAGCCGGTCCCTTGCTCCTGGAAATCAAAAGAGCTGGAACTCTATTTGAGATTGAACCAGTTGTACAGAATTCCTTCTGGAGAGTTGCCTTAAAAAAAAAGAAACCAATATGACTGTGAGGAGTTGTTGTTAAACAGAACTGCAGAATACGTCCATAAAGTCATCTTGCTTACTGCATTCAGTGGGGTTCTGCTATTTCCTCTGCACTATATTAGTTGACCTTTGCAGGCTGCTTTCGTCAATGTTTTTGGTGGCCTCGAAGGAGAGCTCAAGAGAGCTTTCGAAGAACACTTACAGAAAAAAAATGCTTTGGTATATATTTCACGTTTAGGATGGCCATGTCTTCCATGCTCAGAAAGAGAAAAGCAAGCACCAGTGGTGTTCACGGGAGAGATACCGTATATAGTGAATAGAGTGGTGGATTAGGAGTCAGAGGACCTGGGTTCAAAACCTCCCTCAGCCATGGAAACTCACTGAAGGAATGGCACTTGCTGAATATCTCACAGGCCTTAAAAACCCTTGAAAACAGCGACTCAGTGGCACATAACAACAGATGCAGATTTAAGAATACGTTATGTAATTTAAAGAGCAACCCAGTGCATCTCAGTACAGGAGGGAAGACAAGAACCTGCTTCTCAGTGTCTTCACCTGGTGCAGACCGAGGGTGGGCATCTTCAAGGCTCCTGCCACTGCATCACTTTGGGTTCCTTCATGTTCTAAATGAACTTAGACTGGAAGCCCCATCAAAACTGAGGATGTTGCCTCTCTGTGAATGCCAGTATGTTAACTGTTCACCAGGTGTAATGTGCCCTCTACCCAAGTGACTGTTGGGCTACCATTTAGACTTGAGCTGCATAGGCCAGGTTCGCGATAGACCTAGAATGACAGCCTGACATTTTTGCCTGATAGTGTCCCATGCTCCAGAATAATTCACCAAATTGCTTCATGGAATCAATGGAGTATTTCAGTACTTGTGTGGCTCTGGTGTTCGCCTTGAAGTGCAAGAGGCATCTGTCTCTCGAGTGCCCATTTTAATTTAGCTTTAATTAACACCCCATTACTCAAGTGACAGCGGCTGTTTTGCTCGGTGGCTGCTTGACAGGGGAATAAGCATGGAAACAGCACCTAAATGCTTGTTATCAGAGGCACTTGCTCATCAGCTAATAGAGGGTAAATTACCCTTCTCCATGGCCTCAGCAGAGCTCTCTGCTAACAAGCAGTCAACTGGAATAAAAGCTTGCAACTGAATTTAAAACCCTCCTGGCTGTAAGTGACCAAAACAGCAGCCGATTGCGCAGAGTGTGATCTCACTTCTTCCGAACATTATCATAGACAGGTTCCTGTTTTGAAAGGCTGGGCTACATCTGATGTTCCTTCCCAACTGGAGTAAATCTGTCCAACAAATGGAGTTTGTTAAGTTACCATTGATTCTGCACAAGACCAACCACTGTACCACCCAAACACAGCGGATCCTCTCTGGTTTCAAAAGCTAAGCAGAATCATTCCTGATACTACTTGGGTGAGAGGGAGATCCCCAAGGCATCTACAGATAGGGCAAAGAAAGATCCTGCTTGATCCCCTGCTGAGTCAGAGAATCAAGACCAGATCCCCTGGTCTTCCTACTCTCTTGCTTTCGTCTTTTTTTTTGGGGGGGGGACTATGTCCTAGTGGTGGGTCTCAACCGTGCTACCCAAAGTACAATATACATATACACATATTTTTTTGGGGGGGGCGAAGAGTTCTTTTGTGCCATCATTTTTAACCTGTCTTCTAAAACAGTGGCTCCCAGTCTTGGGTCCCCAGATGCTCTTGGACTAAAACTCCCAGAAGCCTTCACCACTTACTGTGCTGGCCAGGATTTCTGGGAATTGTAGTTCAAGAACGTCTGGAGACCCAAGATTGGAAACTGCCTTGAGTCCCTTGATTTGTTCTAAAATTATAGTGACATTTCTGTTTTAATGTCTCTGTTAAATACTCTGGCCAAATGTATCGAGCCAGTCAGCACTTCTTCTGTTTTCTGAAAAAAGTTAAATTTACCCAAACAACTTCTCCTTTTTTATGCTTTTTTTTTTGTCCCTGCTCTTTCAGGTCTTGGATCCTGAGCAAAACCACAGCTTCACAGATCATTACTTGAACGTAGCCTTCGACTTGTCTCAAGTCCTGTTCATAGCCACAGCGAACACGACGGCCACCATCCCACCAGCTTTGTTGGACAGAATGGAGGTGATTCAGGTTCCAGGTAAGGCAGAACGCATTTGGAGTCAGGATGTTTGTGCTGGAAGACAGCGGTCGTTATTGTGGCGGTTTTATTGCCGTAGGTCTTGAGACATGAAGGCACTGTCCTGCCTTTCGCTTCTTTGCACTGACTGCCACTTTAAAATCTTGCAGGAAGGGGCAGCTGTAATATCTTGTCTCATTTTTTTTCTTCCGCTCTGAGTTTACAGCATCACTCTTTTTGGATTTCTTTCTTTTTAAAAACATCTCGTAAGTCTGTTCTGACCTTGGTTCATCATCTCCCTTCCTCTCTATGATGTGTCTTGCTTCAAAGGATACACGCAAGAAGAGAAGATAGAGATTGCCCATCGGCATTTGATTCCAAAACAGCTGGAACTGCATGGATTGACCCCTCAGCAGATCCAGATTCCCCAGGAAGCAACTCTGGCGATAATCACCAGGTAAATGGTTCCTTTTTGCAAGTGGTGAAAGTCAGTAATTAGTTAAAACCTTGACGTGCCATGGAGGTTCACTAGGGGTGAAAACAGAATCTCACTCTTCCTCCACCACCCAAGAGATGAGTCTTGACTTGTCACTAGAAGCATATAGGGAAGGTACTGAACGCATCTCAGCAGAGTGGGGTAAGGGAGAGGGAATTACTCAGCTTAAGGCCCACCACAGAGAAGGCCCTTCCACCCCATCAACCTCTGACGGCGACCATACTGACAACAGATTTCTTCAGTAGTGACCTTAACATCCAGCTAGCTGGTCTATGCTGATGCAATAAATAAATATTTGTTCTTTGCAAGGATTTGGGTATTCTTTCCTTGTTATGTGCCATCACGTCGCTCCTGACTTATGGTGACCCCATGAATGAGTACTCTCCAAAGTGTCCTGTCCTGAACTGCCTTGCTCAGCTCTTGCAAACTCACACCAGTGGCTTCCTTTAGTCTCCCATTTGAGATGGGAGTTGGCTCATCTCAAATTTGCTCCTCCTCTTTTCCGGCTGCCTTCCACCTTTCCCAGCATTATTGTCTTTTCCAGAGAATTCTGCCGTCTCATGCAGGGCTCAAAGTAGGACAGTTTCAATGTTTTAACCTTCATAGATAAGTTCAAGGCTTGATTTGCTCTAGGACCCACTTGTTCCTCTTTCTGGCAGTCCAGGGTATCTGCAAAGCTCTCCTCCAGCACGACATTTCAACCAAATCAATTTTTCCCCATCAGCTTTCTTTACTGTCCAGCTTTCACACCTATACATGGTAATTAGGAATATGAGAGTATGGATGATATTGACCTTTGTCTCCTTCCTTGTAGCTGCTAAGAATCCTTTACATCTGCCTTTTCTTTTTTTTTTTTGCATTTTAAATAATCTATAAAAAGGTGCTTGCCAAACATAGTGCCAACTGTGTCCTATTTGATTAATAAAGCATGTCGATTCAGTCCAGGCTTCCCCAGCTTCTCGTCTATTTAGACACTCAGTCGGATGGGTAACCTGGGCTTCTTCTTTGTACTAGCTATACCCGGGAGGCAGGAGTTCGCTCTCTGGATCGCAAATTTGGCGCCATTTGCCGAGCAGTTGCCGTGAAAGTGGCAGAAGGCCAGCACAAGGAGACAAAGCCAGACCGCTCCGAAGCAACAGAGGGAGGAGGTTTGTGTGCCTTTTTATATCCTTCTGCTGATCGCCAGCTCTTGCCAATTCTCTGGCTTGGAAGGATGCCCAAGAAGGGGGAGCTGTGGCTTTGTTTGAGTTCTGAGATTTGCATATGTTTTGTCCTCGAGTGGAGTAAATACACCCAGTTTTCATTTCTAGTGTTCCTTCCTCCTCGTGAGCGATACAGTTATGTGTACCGCCTCCACTGGGAGAAAACTAGTTGAAGAAATGGGTGCACGAGGAGGGCAAATTGCACAGCTGAGTTTGGGACCCACGGAGCCTGGATTTCTTGGATGTGATGCATGCAAAAAAGCAGCCAGAGTCTGCCCCACAATTACCAAGCTCATATCTCCATGATATTCTACAAGTCTTGAGCACTATCCAGCTTCCCTTGGGGCAGAACTTGGTTGGCTGTGTGGGTGTGTTGGACTACAACCCCCAGAATCCCCCAGGTAGCTCTGCAATTAGCTGACGTTGGGATGCTGGAGATCATAAACGAAGGAGCAGCTATGGTTGTGGCTCTGCCTGGATTACACAGTCACTGGCATGATGGCTCGGGTTCTCTTATTCCCAGAAACATCCACCGTGTTATTCCTCTCACACACACACCAAGCAAGAGTTGCCTGATCGACAGAGTGATCTGCCCTTCCAGGTCTTCTGTTCCCAGAAGCCCCAACTAGTGTGGCCGCTGGTGTGGGGTTGGAAGAGCTGGAGTTCAGAAGATCTGGAGGGCTCCTCAAACAGAGCAACAGAACAAACAAGGAGAAGTGATGTAAAGACAGAAAGTTTTTTTTACCTCTAAGCCCATGCATACTCTTAGCTGTATTCATGTTTGCATTCAGATATTCTTACTTGCACAGAAACCTGTGTCCCTTTGCTAAGGAGGAGTTACTACTGCAGTCAGGCAGGCACGCTGTCAACATCTCGTGCGTCATATTTAAATCTGGAATTGAACTCTCACAAATTATTAAGGTAATCGTTTATTAAACTGCCCAACCAGCCTGACTGGTTAGCAGTAATTTTTTTGTCCGGATGGGAAGGCAGAAAAAACAACCATGCTGTGTACTGTCTCTTCCATGTGATGTCGGGTCAGATGTTAACAAGCCATGGTACCTGGGAGGATGCTGGGAGTTGTAATATAAAGGTGTAGTTTTTCCCCCAGGCTCTGTCCATGAGCATATGCATACCTTCCTTCCTCTTGCAATAAATCCCCAGGACTAGAAGGTTCACTGCAGTTTCCATCGGGCGCTAGTAGTGGAAGAACAATGGCTTTTTGGAATGCTAGGTATCGAGAAAAAGCCTGAAACTTTTTTGCAGGTAATCCAGTTTATCTAATCACCCTGCAGCATCTCCGTGACTTCAGTGGAGATTCTCATTTTCATGTGGCTGTTTATCAGTGGAAGCTTCTCAAAGTGCTTGTCTTCACATGATCCACTCCCTTGTTTACTATTACACATCGAACAAAAGAGAGGCTGTCTCCGGCATTCCAGCAAAGGAGTTATTTACAGTGTTAAAATTAGAGCTGGAAGTAGCTGGCAGCTAGGAAAGCAATAGCGAGCGGACAAGCTTCCAAGTGGTGTAAAACTCAAGGTTTTGTTTTTCTGGAGGAAACCCAAAAGGACAGAGATGTGAACAGTTGCCTTTGTGTGGCCCGAATTAGCATCACGCAGAACACAGGACATAATAAACGAGAGTCTGGCAAGATGGGGAGGAGCGTGCTTTTTAGGCTTCTGCTGGCGTTTGGCAGTGCTGTATTCCAAAAAAGCAAAGTGCTTTTTTTAAGGGGGAGGAGGAAAAAAAAAGGCAGGAGGAGGAGAGCATCTCAGAACCTTACGAGCTGTACAGCACAGTAGAGAACTGAGATGACTTGGAATCATCTCATGCAGGCCAGCCTCATGCTGAAAGCAAGCCACCAACCTTCTGGGTTATTCAGCCCTTGCTTCTTCTTTCATGGAAATGGCAAAAAGGGGAGGTTTAGCGAGTGGCAGGCGGTCAGTCCCAAGGGGCTGTTTGAGAACTGTTCTTCTTGTGTTAGATGTTTCAAGAGTCTCATCTGATAGTCTGTGGTCGGATATCAGCTAGAGCACTGCTTCCCCACCTTGGGTCCCGAGATGTTCTTGAACTAAAACTTTCAGACGCCTTAACCACTAGCCGTGCTGGCTGGAATTGATGGGTGTTGTAGTCCAAGAACATCTGGGGGCCCAGGGTTGGGATCCAAGCAAAACTGACCTGCAAGTTTTATATATAAGTCCAATAAATAAATAAAATAAATAAACATCTGGGGGCCCAGGGTTGGGATCCAAGCAAAACTTACCAGCAAGTTGTACATCATTCCTACTAAATCATATTGTGCTCTTTATTTTAAGATTGTGGTGAAGCTCAAATCTCTTTCACCTAAAACATGTGGATTTTTATGAGCAGAGTACAAAATCCCAGGGCCTCAAGATTTCATTCATTTGTTTGCTTAGCAAGCATGAGGCTCTAAAACACCTGGGACTCTGAGGAAAACATAGCCAGCTTTTCTTTCTTTTGTGCCTTCCCCTTCAGAAGGGCACAGAGGTCAGCTTCAGCCAATCTCTCGGCAGCAACCTTAACAAAAATCTGATGTGGGCAAATCCCAAGGTGACCGGGCTGCAGGCGGCTATAGATTTGAATAAAACTACACTGTGGTTAACACCCTGGAAGGAATGTTAGCAAAAAAATGTAGCACTTGTAGGAGGCCTCATATCTCCGGCACCTTCTCTTTCTCCAACCCCAAATCTTCCTTTTTTCTTACAAAAGACCAGAACCCCTTTGCAAGAATTCTCCAGAAAATCCTTCTGCACAAGACTCTTTAATGAGTCCCTGGGCCTCTTCCTCTCTCAGTAGTTGTACATTTCTGGTCTGGATGAAATGGGAAACTATAGTCAGTGGAAGATTTCCTGGTTGGTTGGCTTGTTCATGCGAATCCAAAAGGCATGTCTCGTCTTATGCTGAAATGCAGGCAGGCAGTCCAAATCTAGTGGTCGGTTTTTTCTTTTAATCTTAAAGAGTGCCAAGAACATATTGCAGAAGATGCAAAAACTGATTCTCTCGGTGACACCGCTGACCTGGCTCTTCCACCTGAAATGCCAATTTTAATCGATTTCCATGCTCTGAAAGATATCCTTGGGCCACCAATGTACGAACTGGAGGTAACTTTTTTTTATTACTGTTTATACCCATCTCCCTCTCTTTCTGCCCGGGCAGTTGGCAAGAAAGAGTCCCATCCCTGTGACATAGGGTGGAGAGCAGCCACAGGGTTTGGCAAACTGTGGCTTCGTTTCTGATGCCTTCTGCAACCAGTTAATTCAGACCTCTGGCAAAACTGACTTGGAGCCCACAGTCTGTTGCAGGGGAAGGAAGAGGAAGAGAGGAGAAAGTGGGAGGGCTCCACTTTGGTCTTAGCCATTATGGATTTTGAAAGATGACTCCTGAATTGTGGCTCTTGGGGTGCGGGGGGAAGAAAACTGCACATCCCTGATACAGTCTTAGGACAAAAGCTGAATCCTTCAAAGTCTAGAGAGGGATGCATTCTCAACTGCAATAAGCTTATTCTTGTTTTTCTAAACAACTCAAGGTGGACACCAAATTAATGTGGGAGAGATTCCTTGATAGCCCTCTGGAATGAGAAGTGGGGCTTTGGCACAGTTGAAAGAGCATCTTTATTCTTTTTAGCTGCCTTTGCCTTCCTCTCTGCAGTGCAGTGGGGGGGGGGAAACATTCCAGATTGGTTCCATTTGTTTTTCTTTGCCTCAGCCTGCAGCGGGGCCTCTTGCTCTGCCTTCTCTATAGCTCGGAGAGCTTCACCTCTGACCTTGCCCTCTGCCATCAATAAGTAACTAGTTGGAAATCTAGACACCTAAGCAGCTCAGCTTGAAGAAAAACTGAAAATGGAAAGCCACTGAATTGATTGGGCTTCCAGAATCTATTCAGGGGCTTGATTTGTCCCTGTTGGCAGAGGAAGAGAGCCATGCTGCCAGCAGAAAGAAAGGCGGGGAGCCCAGCCCGTTGGGAGGCCTGCAAGTGAAGGCGGTAGTCCTTTTTCCATAGAACATTCCTACTTTTTGCCCCTCTTTCAGGTGTCTGAGCGGCTGAATCAACCTGGGGTAGCCATAGGCTTGGCTTGGACTCCCTTAGGCGGGGAGATCATGTTTGTTGAAGCCAGTCGCATGGATGGGGAAGGCCAGCTCACGCTAACGGGGCAGCTGGGCGACGTCATGAAGGAGTCGGCCCATCTTGCAATCAGCTGGTTGCGCAGCAACGCAAAGAAATATCAACTGACAAATGGTATGTAGAAAGACCCCAGGTGGAGAGGGCTAGTGTGCCTTTCGTAAATGCATTAAGGTGGAGTTGGAACGCCTCCAGATGTTGCTGGCTGCCTAGAGTAGCAGAAGAAAGACCGTGAAGCTCTTGGCAGCTGTATGACGTCTTTGGTGGGAATGTTTTGGAATCGCAGAACGGCAGATTAGCACCTTCTCCCAAGGGCAGGAAATCCACAGTTAGAGCCTCCACCCAAGGAAAATACACCACCTTCTGTGGTAGTTCCTTCCACTGCAGAACAACTGTCTGTAATTTCTTTGTAACATTTGGGTTTCTTAGAGTTGCAGACCAGGAGGTGACCCTGTGGGTCATCCAGTCTAGACCCCGTCAAGGAGGCACAGTGGGGGAATCAAACTCCCAACCTCTGGCTCCACAGTCAGGAGACCCAAACCACTGAGCCATCCAGCAGTTTTATAAGATTTTATTTAAGTGGCTTTATTGCAAAAATGACTTTGCTGACCGGGTCTCAAACATGCGGCCCGGGGGCCATTTGCGGCCCCCCAGATGATAGTTTGTGGCCCTCGCCTTGCCTGCCCCCCCAAAGCGCCCACACATCCTCTACTGTCAAGAGTTTTTTTTAAAAAAGCCTTGTCTCACTCGCCGGCTCTCTCCCAAGACAGCACCTCTTGCACCCTCCATCCAGAACTGCAGCTTGCCAGCCAGCCCACCTGTCTGTCGGCTAAGGAAACTCCTGGGCGGCTTCCATGGGCTCTTGCTCTGCTTGGCGGAAAATCTGATGCGGCCCACCTCACCCAGACTCTGCCTGTAGCGGCCCCCAGGAAAATTGAGTTTAAAACCCCTGATACAGCACTCAAGTCAAGCACACCAATGGATTAAACGAACTGACAAACACATTATGGTGCCATGTAAGAACATATGTATTGCCCTTCACTGAGTTCAAACTAGGAATGTCTCCCCCCCCCCAATTCCAAACTACAAACATACTCAGGCATGTTGATACAGGTGCATTTCTTCCCTTTGTTCCTCTGTCCCCACCCCTTTTACTGTTACCAATTGTCTTTCCAAAGCAATGGCTGCCAAATGGCACAGTGTTAGGAATTGAAGTCCTCCATTGGTGGTGCTTGCTTATTTATTTATTAAGCAAAAGAGAGGCCATGGGTCTGAAAATGATGCCACCACTACTCCTCCCAAACTTATTGTTTTTCTCCCCCCCCCCTCTCTTCTTTCTTAAAGCTTCTGGAAGTTTTGATCTCCTTGACAACACCGACATCCATCTGCACTTCCCAGCTGGAGCTGTCACAAAAGATGGACCATCTGCTGGCGTTACCATAGTAACCTGCCTTGCCTCCCTTTTCAGTGGGCGGCTCGTGCGTTCAGATGTAGCCATGACTGGAGAAATTACGCTAAGGGGTCTCGTTCTGCCAGTAAGTATTGTTTGGAGGTAATGATATTGTTAAACCTTTCTTCTCATCCAGCCCTCCACGGCTTTTAATACCAGCTTCAATTCCATCTTTTATTCTAAGATACATACTCAGACTTGTGATGTTTTCATTCTTAGGCACCCTTCTGTAATAGTCTTCCCATACAGTTAGCACACATTTAATTCTTTTTTTTTCTTTTTAAGAAATCTGCTTTGCATTAGGGGAAGCTAGTAATTTGTTAGGGGCAACGTATTCCGCAAGAACAGAACAGCAGATGATAGTAATTTCTGGCAGCAATAAGGCTTAATTTTGTCAGTTGCTGTCTAATTGGAATGGTGGCTCCATCGCTATTTTGTTCTCTGGGGGACTCTTAAATAAAGGGGCTCTTTATGAGATTCAGTTGGTTCACTTTATTCCATCTTAGTAAGAGCTACAAAAACTGCTGTTGAGAACTGGTAGCGCCAATTGGATATGTCTAGACTTCCTTATGTCAGAATCTTTTCTCCCAAATGTGAATACATTCCAAACCTAGGTCGGGAGCTGCTACTGGCAAAGGAAGCAGTGTCACTCTTTCTTACTGACAAGGTCCACCATGTCCATATGGGCCAGCCAATTGCTCATTGTGGGTCAGATAGGCATCTTGCATGCACAGAAAGGTAACACGTTGTGGCAAAATGCTTGCTTTGTTTCTGCTTTCTTTTAACTATGCTCCTTGTAGGCCGTGTTAATCTACTTCTTGCAGCATTGAGCAGGACCTTGGTGCAGGTCCATGGAGAGTTGTATGTACATCGGCCCTAGCAAATCGTATTTGGGTGGAGTGGGGAGCAGTTGGCCTTCGGATGTTGTAGGACTGTGGCTGCCATCAGCTCTAGTTAACAGAGCCTCTTGGGATACGAGAGCTGTGGTCATATAACAACTGGAGGGCTACCTGTTCCCTAGTTTAAATATTTGGTATTCACTGGGAATATGAGCAGCTTAATGCCCCATTGTATCGCTTGGAACCTACTTAAACCCTCTTCCACAAGATCAGTTGTCTTCACCCCAATTCTTTACGGAAGCAATGGGCAAAATGTGGCCCTCTAGATGTTGTTGCAATTCAGCTCCCTAACATAAGTTGTGTTGATTTCAATGGATCTGCTTCTAAATCTCACTGAGTGCAGATCCAATGAAGTGTTAGTAAATATCAGAATCTGTTCAGCAAAAACAGTCCTCCTTATTCATCTTCTGTTCCTCGTCTTCATGTGTCTAAACAGGTTGGAGGAATTAAAGACAAAGTCCTTGCAGCACACAGAGCTGGACTGAGAAGAATCATCATCCCTCAAAGAAATGAGAAGGATCTTGAAGAGATTTCTGCCAACATACGACAAGATCTGAATTTTGTAATGACCAGCTGTCTAGATGAAGTTCTCAATGCAGCTTTTGATGGAGGGTTTTCAGCTAAGACAGGAATTGATCACTTCAATAGTAAACTTTAAGCAGTTTGAGTTTTCTCAAAGAGCGAAACACAAAGTCAGCGTTCATTTGCCAGGCAGTTAATAATGTGGGAGGGCATTAAAGTTGGCCCATATGTGCATTTGTGGGGAGTACTCTGCAGCTAGATAGATATTGAATGTTAAAGCTCTTAATGATAGTTGATGTGCTGTTCCCTTCCCGCCCCCTGGCCATTAAGCTTCCATTAGAGGGAAACACTAGTATCCAATGACAATTTTTTTTTAAATTTAAATTTAATGTGGATCTAATTTCTTTTCATTTTCGAAGAGCCTAACATGAATGTCAGGATCTGCCTTTCTGAACTGTCAAGAGTTTTAATTAAATTGTCATTGTTGTTGAGCTAGTGCCATACATGTTTGTGGGTTTTGACCCTAAGATAATGTGCACAATACTGCAACAGGCCATTGTAGGTACAGTCCTGAGATGTGGAGGACACACCATCAGTGAGAAGGAGAACATTAATCACTTCAGCATCAGGATATGAAGCATGTGGCTGATTGCTCAGAATGATTGGTATGGGCAGTGGGAAATAAAGAGATCTTGCTTTTCCTCCTTTAATACAATGAGAATTCTTAGGCCCCTCATACTTTAGCTATTTAAAATTTAAAGCTAGCAATCTACTTTAAAATGATGGAGAAAGAAATAATTCACAGCTTTTCTGTGCAACAGGTGATGTGACTAATTTGTCATAGAGCCAAGTGTCTAATTTGGAACCTGTATAATAAAGTGTAATTATTTTCTGCAGGACTGCAAATGTTAAAGAGCTGGTGGTACACAAGAGCCCAGTGGCCTTTCATGGTAGATGGCAGGTTTCTCACTCAGGTGGAACTGGTACACTGCTTAGAGCAGGTGTCAGGGAACTTTATCTCTCCCCCCCCAAAAAAAAAATTTATATACGCCAAATTTACATTACCCCAACCCTTCCCAGCACAGCCTCTCTGTTCTTGCTGTATGCGGCCGACCCCCCTCCCCGCTTGCCCGGGACCTGCGGCCGCTGCCAAAGCAGCCAGTCTGGAGCCACTACGCCGCCGGGAAAGTGTGTCCTTGGCGAGGGGAGGCAGGCAGCGCAGGGTCGGCAGGTCCACCAGCCATGAGCTCAGGTGAGACAGGGTGGGAAGGGGGCCTCCTCTCCAGCGGACTGGGCCGGCAGGTGGGGGCAGGAAGTAGAGCCCTGGCCACAGCTCCGCTGGGCAGAGTCCACCTGGCCCACTCCACTGGCCCCCCCCCCACACACTTTGGAGGTGAGGAGAGCAGCCGGGTGCCCTGTGCACTTCCTTGCCGGGGCTTGCTGTCCCCACGACAGAATGCCCACCTACACACAGCACTGTCAGAAATAAAATGCCGTGACCATCCTCATTACCCCCAGGATTTTCATTTTTACCCCATTTGGGGTAATTTACCCCTGTTCCTTGACCACTGGCTTAGTGCAACACAGGGATGAAAAGAAAAGCCAGTTCTGTCTAGCCAAAAGAAAGGTATCATTCTATTGGGAGGGGGCCAGGGTTGTATTTTTTTTTCCTTTTAAGTGGGAGAAAGGAGGATTAGTGGTAGATAGCCCTGAGTCCTTCAAGATGCCAGCAGGCTTAAAGGGGCATGTCTGAACACAAGCTTGTTAAGGAGGTAGCAGCTGTTCACTTGTATACATGAGATGCGACACACAGAAAAGACTGAAGCCAACTGCACTAGCAAATGTCCTACAGTATTCATTCACTGCTGTTGCCATTCGCATCCTGGATGGATACCACTTTGGTCCTTGTCTGTAAAGCCTGCCTTAGTGTCGCTTGAAAACAAAACAAAACCCCTTTTCTCTAAAGCAGGAGTGGGAAATGGTGGCCTTCCAGGTATTTGGGGCCCAACATTCCAGTCAGTCCTAAGCGTCATTACCACTGATGATGGGGAAAAAATGGGAATAGCAGCCCCAAATGATCTTGGGCACCAGATCTGCTCCCCAGTCTCAGTGACACAGTGTTTCTCCAGTGTCTCAGTGTGATGATAGACTTTTTTTCAAGCTGCTTGCAGAAGGGTTCACTGCAGATACCTGACACATGGAAAGCACCGTGTTTGCATTCTCATGATCAAGCAGTACTGCCATGGAAGACATCAGTGCTGCAGTTGTTCCAGTTAAGCTTATTTACAGCACTGATTACAGTTACAGATCTAACTAGAGTTAAATCAGATGTCAGCGTATGCTTGCTTTCTCTTGACATGCAAGACATACTGTGGACACCTAGTAGGCTTCTTGGGTTGGACCAGTTACCACTGCATTTTATTTATTGCTCTTTCAGCTGTTCCTGTCTCCCACGACCAACCATGCGAGTCTATTCTGGTCATGAACAGCCCTGGACAACTTCCAAAGTCATAACCTTATCACACCACATGGTATCTGATTAATGTGAGATTGCAAGTGATACTGGTGGGGTCAGTTATGTCTGAAGAACTTGACACACCTGCTATTTAGTCTGCACACCGACACCTACAAAAAGATGCTTCAGATTGCTAAACTAGATGAGCAGGTAGCTGAAATTCCCTCTCAGCCTTTCTCAAAATCAGCTTCTGGAACTGTACACAAACTGTTTTGCTAAAAGGAGTTTTCAAGCCCACAAGGGAAGATTTCCCAAGAACAGTTAAGGCAGAAATGCTGTCCACTTACCTGGAAGTGATAGCTGCTAAATCCAGTTGAATGTCCTCCTTTGGACACCTGTTAGGAATTCAGTGACATTTCCCTCTTTACAAACCTGTTAAGACTGGACTGTAGGGTTTGCATGAAATTAATGCCAAACCCTATTTCGGTTCAGCTTTCAATACCACAGGAAAAACTGTTCACAAATGTCTACCATTTACACCAAGGGTGGGACTCCTACAGCCCCCCACACTTCCAGGCTTGGTTTGGCCCATGATGCAAGTTGGGGGCTTGAAACTGGGCCCCAAGCACTCAGACCTTGCCGGCTGCTGTCCCACATGGTACAGAATTCTTTTATTTTCCACTTTCCTTCCTCCAGAATTTAATGCCCTTCTTTTTACTCTGACTCCTTTCTTGACCTCTCCTTGTTTAATGTTGTCATTTCTGAACCCTATTTCTATTTGTTTTGCCAGTGGGAGACAGCTACCCTGGTTCAGACTGAGAAACATTCCACAGCTGTGCTTCTCCCTCCTACATTCTTGCAGCCCCAGCTTTGGGGAAAACTCCAGTCTCTCCCCACCCCCACTGCAGAGGAATGCAACCTTTTGTCCTGCTACCCAGTCTGGAGACTGCTGGAAGAGAAAAAAGTTTAGAGGCACCCTGGCCTCTGTTTAAGCAGGAAGCTGGGGCACTTGACTATTCCATAGCAAAATGCTTATAATAGGAAATGACTAGGCAAAGCAGCAAATGTTAACAGAGAGAACCAAAAGTATGTGCGCAGGAGGAGGCGGAAGACTAACTTTCTCATCAGCTCCCCTGCAAACAGGCATTGTGATTGTGCCCCAAGTCACAGGATTCAATACACAATAGAGAAAGTCTACAGTGATTTCTTAACTTGAGGCAACTTGCCTCCAGAAGTTAACACCATTTTGCATTGTGCCTGTGGGCATAACTAACAAGATTTTGACCAGTGTGATGCATTTGAAAAACCAATCCTTTCAACATCATCTCTATAACAACTGTGAAGTATGCAAACCAAAGATACTGAGTAGCAAAAAAAGAAAAGGAAAAAAAAGATTCATTCAATCTAACTTCCATCATTAAGGAGCCAGAAAGAGTGCTAAAAATACTTTGAAACACGCCACGGCAAATGAAAATAAAACAGGTCCAGAAAGGGGCAACCCATCATAGTGCATGCTAATTTCACCAGGGTCTCCATAAATTGAAATCAATTTGAGGGCATATAATCAATCTGAAACAACTGGCAGGGAAATGAAAACTGCATCAAAAGTTCTGAAGAGGCAGTTGGGGAAATTTTTTGGCAAGAAAGATTCCACTGGGAGTCACCTCAAAATGTCTCATTATAAAAGCATCAAGTTCAACAGAAAGATAAGTCCACCTAGGGAAGGTGTGTCCTCTAATTATCCCAAGTGGAAACACACCCACCCCTTAGTAGCTAATGAATGGGGATCAAAAAAGTTCCCTTTCATCAGGTGTGAACATCACAAGACAGCTCTCCCAAGACTGCTAGCGGCAAGTCCAAGGGCTCCAAAATAGCAAGTCACCACATTCTTTCTGACACAAAGTCCAGAAACACTGTCTGTCTATAGTGAAGAACAGAATAAATCCTTTCCCTCTAGTTATTTCCAGCGTACGAGAGCAGAGGCCATCCATCATTGAGGACTAAATGAAGTTGTACCTAGCTGAAGCCCTTGGACCTCCACTGTAAAACTGCAACTCTGAACTGACTTATTTCTCACTCTTGCTGCATGTTTTGCCAGCTTAGGCTGGTCCATGCCTCACACCTATACCCAAATACTTCATTTCCATACTCCATTTTTGGTGCCCTTCAAATCATTTTAACTTGCACATAGAAAGTCAGGACAGAACTATAAGGAAGGACTGCGCTGCTGAACAGCCCTTCCTTGTTCCCACTGGGTTTACGCAGTTCTGGGTTTGTTTACCTCTCCTACTCTCCTTTTCTAATTTTCTGAATGTAAAAACTGCAATCCCACTTACTATCATCACTTGTAAATAAACACTACTGAAATAAATGGGCTTCGCTTTCAGATAAAGCGTGCGCAGAAAGCAGCTGTACCAAAAGTTGAATACACAGGCATTATCCTCCTCCACATGTTAAGCCTGTTGCTTTACTTTTTTAAGAGAGACATTTTTAAAAACTTAGCAGTAATCAGAAGCAATCTTCGCTGGTTGTGGGGGTGAACATGTGCAAAGCAGCTCTATTGTTTAGAGCTGCCACATGCAAAGACAGTTTAGGCCAGGAAGATTCACAACCTCCTCTAAGAGAGGAACAACAACAAGAAAAAATACGCTGTGTGGCACAGCATTCGTCTCAGACTATTTATATCACAATAATCAAAACAATTTCTGCACACACCAGCTGTATTTGCCTCCCAATAATATGGATTATTTTTTAAGGATATTAACAATCAGTACTTTGTAACAGTGAAGGCTACACGTCGGTTTTTTAAATGAAAAACCTGAAGTTAATAAAAATTAGCAAATATATGGAAAATATATAGAGAATGTAATCAAGATTTATTCCTTGCCTATTCAATAAAAACAAACAAAAATGACAGGAAATTTAGGTAGCAGGGCTGGGAGCGATTTCTGCCTGGGATTTTTGAGAGCTGCTGGTCACCAGAACAGTGCATGTCACCTCAACACAGAAAGGAAGATGTAAATGGCATTACTATCTTCACATAATATACTGATACTGCACACATATCGGTGCGTATAGGTGTGAAGCATCATCGCTTTTTCTTTTTGATACACAAGTGCTAAATAAGAAGTAAATTCTGCAACCTGGCTCCAAAAGAACTCACAACTTAAAATTAAAACCATCTCACAGAAACACCTCTATTAGCTTTGAAGTTCATTACTGGCACCAAAGGTGGTGCAACTGGCTCTACGGCACACTCCCCAAGAACCACATGCCATGCCACAGAGAAAAGTCTGGTACGCTTCTTGGAAAACACACAGCTGTCAAAAGCCCTCAGGGTCACATTACCCAGAAAACATCCCAGTTCTCAGATGCCCACAAAAACCACTTAAGCACACTTCACAAATTCAGGCTAGCCCCAGCTACAAGGAAGGCCTCAATAAAGTCCTCAAGCTCTACTTCCTAGGCATATATCCCTGGATCATTTTCAAAATGTATATAGGTATGCCAATAGTACTGTACTTCATGCCCTCTCTTAAATAAAAGGGAGAAAGGGTCAATACTGAAAACTAATCTCCTTAAGTAGAGTCAAAAAAGTAACAAGGAAAGCTTTATTTACACACAACCATCATACTACACCTTATTAAGCAACGTTTAATTACAAACTTTCTTACCTGTTGTTTTCATGCCTGCTTTGAAGTAAAAACTGGTTAGCAGCATAGTAAGTACCCTCTTCAAATTTAAGTTTGAATTCAAAACAAGAACATCCATGTATTTTACACAGAGTACATAATTTCTTTCTCCAACGGATTTGATCTAATTCACAGCACTGTATGCCACACAGACTGTTTCATAACCCTCCTATCTGTCCTTCTATACCTGCACTTTGGCAAAGTGCGTCTAGCCTGTATATACCTCAGTCATCTGTATCCAATAATCTTCCATTTCCTAGACCTCATGCAGAGTGCCTATCCTGCTCCTGAGTAGAAAGAACAATTCTCATTCTTATTTTGGTTTGCTCTTGTTCGACTTCAAAGTCTGAAATAAATATAACATGGTTATTATTATTAGACATTATAGGTTTAGGGTAAGTTCATTTGTGTAAACGGTGAAAAGATGCAATGACAACCTTTCATTAACAAGATGAAATAGTAATACAGAGGGGATGCACGCATATGGGCTTACGTTTCTTGAAAACTGATGCAGTGGGCAAGCCCTAGATATCAGATCTCAGAAATTCCACACATTAATGCCCCTGGCTGGGAACAAGGGTCACACAGACATTTAAAGAGTGGCTCAACAAGGCCTTGGCACAGTCAGCATTCCTTTGGTGGAAGACCAGGTCACATCCTTGGAGAAAAGGTTCATCAATTCTGAGCAACATTCCATTCTAGATGGCTTCCATTCCATGAAGGAAAAAAAATCACTTAAGAGTTTCATTTTGCCAGGAATTCTTTTTAATGACAGAATTTTAAAAAAAGACCAAAAACAGCTTATTTCAACTGTCTCCTTTAAACAAATGGTCTGTATTTATAATTACAAATACTGTATAGACAATGCCTTCTTGCACTGCACAACCAATAGATACAAGGATGACTTTCAAAAAGTCTAAAGATCTCTGAATTCCTTTGAAAATGTGCCTGAACTTCCACGTATTTTAAATTAGAACATTCTCAAACAAATTTGCAAAACTTACGTTTAACTCAAAACACAAGGGCATCTGCAATTTAAAAGAAGCCTTTTTCAGAACTTCTCCAACGGGGTGTGTTTTCTTTATAGAGAGCAAGATGTTAAAAAACCAAAACAACAGATGAATGAACAACAGTATCATTGAATGGACTACTGCAAAGACATAAGGGGTGCAAACCTGAGCAGAGAGTTATTTAGGTCTAAAGTTCCATGTAAGTACGTGAGACTTAGTTGTACCACAACCAATGGCAGGATTGCATCCCCCCAAAATGTACTCATTACATAAAAAACTATATACTTTACCATAAGTAATTATGTGTTTCAGAAGATGACACCTGTAATTAATGTCAGAAGATTAAAAAAAATAATAGGAAAAGGGAAAACCTGAATTACAGAAAAGAAAAGTCATTTATTTAATGAAAAACCTGAAGTTAATAAAAATTAGCAAATATACAGAAAATTTACACAAGAACAGCAGCAATACTATGTAGTGACTTACAGAGAAGGAATAGGGAGAAGTAGTGGCCAGACACTAAACCGCCCTGCATGGCTTGTCGGTCAAAGAACAGAACACAAATGGAACACAAAACAGTATCCTCTTCAAAAGTACAATTAATCTACAAACAAGTTTAGAATTATTTTACAGCACTTTTCGTAGAATCAATTATCAATACAAAAGGATGCCCATTTTGGGTACGATATATATATATATATAGATATATATATATAGATACATATATCTACACAAATATATATATATATTCAGTGGTTTACTGCTGACTCACTTTAAATATATTAGTGTTATTACATGCAACTGTGTCCTGTACTTTAACAGCCTTCCCATTAATTTACCTTCATATAAGCTAGTCTCTTCCTACTAAACTGTTCATGTCTGGCAGCTGAAAGATGTTCACCTTGGTTTCTATGGAACTGAATACAATTGATTGTTGACTTTCGTTAGACACTGGCCCAAAAATGTCAGATTACGGCTTCAGCACATTGAAATTGTCACATTAATCCCTAAGTTGCCATTCTCTGCAAAAAGCTGTGCAATGCTGGTGTCAAAGACGAGACAGTCACTATTCATAATGGCCGTCGCAATTCCTTCATGAATCGATCGAGGAGTTGCTTCCCAAGTCAATCGCCGCCTATGACCATTGAGCTCGAGGCGGTAAGCAAAATTTTCAGCTTGCTTCCGTGTTCCTATCAGCTGAACGATAGCAAAGAACTGCTGGTGACCATCGTATTTCTCCTGTTTCTCCAATACTAACATGAAGTGAAAGCCAAAGCAAGACTGCATCATAACCCAGTCCACAGCGCCAGGAAGATTAATGTCTGTGGCAAGGAAAACAATATCTTCTCCCTGTAGTGTTGTTATCGACTTATGCTGGTGCATGAGATGGGGCATGACGGCATCCAGGGAGCCTTGCCACTTGCAAGAAGCACCAGGGCATGGACATGAATAAGGCCGAAATTCACAAAGCTCTTCATGGTCTGCTTTTTCAGTGTGGGGCAATGTTATCTCACAGCCAGAGGATGCATATTTGCAAGGAAACAGTACAGAGTTGGCCACTTTTTCCATAGCCAAGTTACGAATAGAACCCAGGGGGCCTCGGCAGGTAGGACAGCATGTAAGCTTCGGCCGACAGTTGCTACAAACGAGATGGCCGCTTTGGCACTGCAGAATTGGTGGCAGTACATAGTCAAAGCAGACAGGGCACTCAAAGAGACTGGCCAAGTCATTGTTGGAAGCAGTGGTACCAGTCAATGCAGGCACCCTCTGGGATGGTGTACACTTAGAGGTACCTGTAGGAAGTGCTGTAGCAGTCTGACGACTCATTTCTGTAAGAAAAGGAAAAGAAAAGAAAGGAGATGAGCATCTTTCTTTAAGTGATCACTTGGAAATTAATAATGATATAAACCCCATCTCAAACCCAAGTTCCTGTGACTCTCTCTCTCTCTCTCTCTCTCTCTCTCTCTCTGTGTGTGTGTGTGTGTGTGTGTGTGTGTGTGTGTGAGAGAGAGAGAGAGAGAGAGAGAGAGAGTGATCACTTGGAAATTAATAATGATATAAACCCCATCTCAAACCCAAGTTCCTGTGACTCTCTCTCTCTCTCTCTCTCTCTCTCTCTCTCTGTGTGTGTGTGTGTGTGTGTGTGTGTGTGTGTGTGTGTGTGTGTGTGTGTGTGAGAGAGAGAGAGAGAGAGAGAGAGAGAGAGAGTGATGGGCACCAAACGGTGGTCATGTAGCAACACACTGCCACTGAATATGGAAGGGTAATGTGACTATCATGGCTAATAGTTGTCTAAAAGCATATCCTCCATTTCATTTGACCAATCTTCTTTAAAGCTGACCTACAAGGCCAGGAAAGTATTCATAAGATCAACCAGTTTTACTCACACAAGTATATATATAATATATGAGAATAGGTATTATTCTTAAACATTTTCAACAAAAATATTTCTTAGCAATTGCTTAATTACAAGGAAACAGATAAATACTTGAAAAAGCAGGGATGGGGAAAAAGTGACTTGAAAACTTCATGCAGCCACCAGTGAGGCCCCAGACCCCACCACCTGTCAACGTCTGAAAAAAAGAACAAATTCCAAAAATGCCAATTGTGCTCCATGAGCCATCTCACGTCTAGTTACACCTTCCCAAGGTCCTTTTTAAGATAGGAAAGAAATTAAGGCACACACATACAGTCCCCCCCCCCCAAAAAAAGAAGACTAATTTGATCCCAAAAGCTGGACTGGCATTTCATTTGCCATTTGTTTGTGCATGAAAACACAGACAGTATGCTCAAAAGTAGGCAGAAAGACTCCTGCAGTCTCAGGAGTTGTCCATCCCTTTTAAAAGAGATGTTGCTTAGGGAGAGCAGGATGAGGAATGTGTGTCCCTCTGCACCAATGGTCCTCAAATGTGGGTCCTCAGTTGTTATTGGACTGCAACTCCCAGACATCTCAGCCAGCATGGCAAGTGGTAAAGGCATCCGGGAATTGCAGTCCAGGAACATCTGGGGACCCCAGTTTGAGAACCACTTCTCTAGTTGGGTTGCAACATTTAGTTGCTCTCACTCCTGGCCATGCTGACTAGACCTGATGACAATTGTTATCCAATAAATTTGGAAGGCTATTAATTGCTCACATTTGAAAGCAGAGGCTCTAAATATATCTCTTAGGCCACTGGTTCTTAACCTTGGGTTACTCAGGAGTTTTGGACTGCAACTCCCAGAAGCCTTCACCATCAACTGTGCTGGCTGGGGTTTCTGAGAGTTGCAGTTCAAAAACATCTGAGTAACAAAGGTTAAGTACCATGGTCTTAGGCAACTGAGTTTTCATCCACTTTTTGAAAAGCACTGCTAAGTAGCTGACATCATGTGACAGTGACTGAATTCCAAGCATTCAGTTAAACAATATAAGAAACTGGCCTTTCTTTTGTCTGTACAGAATCTACCAGCAATCAATTTCGTCAGGTGAGGCAAAACAAAAAGTTTTCATTTAACAATTCCTGGAAACAAGCCTCACTTGTGACTGGTATAAAATTCAAAAGCCACCAACCCATCACACACCTATGCACATTTTAGGTTCCACTAAAACTACTGGGATTTAAATGCATCTAGATGGCAACCAATCTATCTATGGAAGTCAAACAGGATATTAAAAATTCCTACAAAGCAACTAGTTGCAGCATTTGGAGAAGCTGAAGCCAAGATGTTTTTCAATAAGCATAATCTGGGAGTAAAATGTTCCAATAACTCAAAACACCAAGAGAGCTTCTTTGCATGTAATTCCCATAAAACCTGTTACTGCAGACACGCCTTAGATGGCATACATAAACACAAGGCAGTAGCCATCATTCTACTACTGACTGCAAAACGAATTTGATTTAAGTTGCACTGTTTCATTGCATGCATTTCCTCCATAGCAAGAAACTCTTAAGTACGAAACAGTGTTCACTGTTAATGATGTTACACAGATGGGATGATGATTTCCAACACCACTGGATCAATCTAATTAGAACTTCTAAAAAACCAAACCAAACCAATTTTCTTTGTGATTTCTGTGCTGCTGAGGGGACTAGGTTCCCCGATACGTCTTGAGATCTTACATAGTGGGCAGAAATCTTGTTAAATATAATTATGCCAGCATAGACCCAATCTGGAAATAATTAATTTAAACAAATGGAAAACTTCTTCCCCTTCCCCCCTCCTGGTGGGTCCCCTTTGCCCCAAGGAAGCCTTTGAGAGTACTGGGATCCAGGACTGGCTTTAATAGCCAAGTATTGGTTCCAATCCCAGCTGCAGCAATCCGGCAGCAATTGCTGACCATCAGGCCTTCCTTCCCATCCCACGATCTTCCCAGGATAAAAGGAAACCCCAAGGAGCTTCAGGAGCTTGGTGGGGGTGGGAGAGGGGGAACAAAGCTTTAGTTTTGTTTAAGTTAATGATTTCCAGTGCCTGGATGTGATTTATGTCGGTATAATCATGTCAACAATTTTGTGCTGACAAAATTCCAGAACTATGTCAACAAGATTTTGCCCAATATCTTTTAGGCAGTAATTAGCAATTTTGATACACAATTTGCAATGCAAACACTGATCATCACCTTAGTGAGGAGCACTTAGCAAGCCAAGCAGTAGTGCCAGGAGCCAGAAGAATGATAGCATCCACAGTTATACACAATGGGAAACAGAGTTTGTAGGTTAGGCTTTTTTAAGATAGGAAACCAGCAGTTTCAAAACCAGAGACAAAAAAATATCAATATGCTGTACCTCTCACATTTGAAACCACACTAATTACTTACATGTGGTTTTTTTATATTAATCAAAATATTTTCACAACATATCTTTCTTGCCATCTGGCTACACTTCCTTGTTTGTTTGTCACTGCAAAAGTATTAGATACCTAATAGAATACAGGCTGCTAAAACACTGCATGTCACGCTTAAGCTGCAGATTTAATAAAAACAGGGAAACTGAGGTTGCAATATTTAGATCCTTTAATTAATTGGACTAAAGATTCCTCTACAAATCCAAGGCTGCAATCATAACAACTTGCTAAGCAACAAGTTCCACTTAACATGGTGACTTCATTTCCCCTACACTGCCATAAGTTATGTGAAACAATTTTGGCCACTGAGACTTACCTCTGAGCACACATGCCTACACTGTACATTCACCCTGTTCATTGTTTAGAAATATGAGGATTTCCAAATAGTATGAAAGGCCAGTGTCCTCCTCCTCCTCCTCCTCCTCCTTTCTTACAAAACAAAGAATGCCTCTTTAAGTTGCCTGATGCAACATGTGCATAATCAAAAAAAGAAAACACTTTTTTTATCCTCAAATCACTGTTTTATTTGTATGTAGGCTTAACCAATTTAAATTTATGACCAACTAGGGTTTATTTAAAGCATGCAGCTGTAGATAATCCAATGCAGGAAGTACCAAATGTTTGTTCTGATTTCCCATTCTTACATTCTGTCTAGGGCTCTGAAGGCAACCACACCAGCTGCATTAAGAAACATCTCAGAGGTTTATTATAGTCTTAGGCCATAAATACAGCTAAAATTTAAAATATCTAGCTAGCATGTCAGGAAGATGGACATCATACCAGCACTACCAAACGTGGGCAGATCAAACACTTCTGCAGGAACTCCTTAATCCTAAGTAATTATTTAGAAATATATGAAATTCCACACCCTTTTAATCAAATAAATGTACAAGTGCAATAATTTCATCCAACAACAAACAGTCAATATTCCCAACTATGGTATCTCATAGATCCTATCCATTCAGTTTTAAAGACCTGGAGAGGAGCCCAAGAACTAAATAATCAAGTGGTTTACTAAGTTACCATTTAGTATCCATTTCTCTAAAATTTTTATGTGAATGCAATCACAACATGCAACCACAGGTTACAACATGCCACTAAGACTCAAATGAAAAGTGAAGTGGGTAAACCATTCTCATATAAAATGTTTTAATATCCAGCAACAGCAGCCCTCCCCCTCTTCATCAAAATGGGTATTATGTCATTCAAATACTATCTGGGGCTGGCTCTTCAGAACGTAACACAGAATTGTTAAACACATTAACAACGTGCAAGCACTTTATGAGTATCACTGAGCTGAAGCAGAATACTGTCCATCTCCTCATTTTCATAAGGTTCTTCTGGAAGCCACAGCGCCCCAATTGATAAAGACTGAACACTGTAATTCTCCAGCTACTACTGTATCAGAATGATTTCTCCCAGTATGCTTTGCAAACTTATTGACTCTCTAAATAAGAATATTAATTCCCTGTATTACTATCTGGTTTTGGAACCGCAAAGGTTCTGTCAATGATATTAGTTTCACCATTTAAAGAATTACCTTGAAACCAGAGCATCTCCACTCTGAGCAAAGCAGGTGAATTGCAATTTGATCGATACAACCTATTCAATTATCACCTTTGTTTACTAAGTACAAGGTAACAAACAATTGAGTCCTAACATTTGAGAACCGATTCATTTTTCCATCTCTTTTGCATGCCTGTGTCTGTCAAGTTCTGAGCCTGATATTTAAAAAATCAAAACAAATAGCACATAGCCAATTTTTAGAAATCAATGTGACACAGCATGGCTGTGCTCACACTAGTACCTCAGTTAACCAAAAGTCTGCCTGATTGCTGTAATATTCATGTTTTGCTACAGCTAATCTCACGTTAAATCTGATTTGCCTGTCAAGATGCCAGCTTGACCACAAATAAAAGGAGTGCAACTCCTGGGTTAAATTGCTGCCATATAACCAAATAATGGTGTCCTTTTCCACATGCAGGTACCTCCTTGCTCCCTTCTCAATTACAAGAACTTGATGAAGTGCAGGAGTGAGCAACTGGCCAAAAAACAGTCATTAAACTACAACATAAGTATGGGTTCAATGCCCTGACTTTTGATGAAATTATCAGTTCTGATATACAAAATAAGTCCCTATCTTTTTTTATAGGACATACTATAAAATGGGGGAGGAGAGAAACTTGAAATACAAGTGGTTGTTCATTATTTCCTTTATCAAGAGGCCAGCATTTATAAAATGTGCAAAGGTGCAGTGTTCATATTGGCAAATTACTAGTTGTCAGCCGCTGGAATTACAACCACAGTTATCTTCAGATAGAAAAACCTTTACACATATCTCTAGAAGCAAAACGGATCACTGTCAGATGGAAACATATATGTGTCAGGGTGGAAAACTGATGTCTACACAACAAAGAGAACCAGGATAGATAGTGAGTCACTACTTGTAAGCATGTTTTCGTGCATCTTCTCAAAACCTGTCTCACCATCATTAGAGCCTGTCAGATCATGCCCAAGTCTGAAACAGATCTTAAACCATTAACCAACTATACATGTGCTATTTTGACTGAAACAAAACCTCATCTGATATCCATATTTCAAGTATCCACTTCAGAAATCACATGAGAATACCATCTGCCTTTCACCTTCTCATACGTAAAGTAGTTCTAAAATACCTGCTGCAGCAGAAAGGAAAAACTCTGGAATCTAAGCCTTGGCACCAGAAAAAGTCCATCTAGAAAGAAAATGACATTCTCATGTCTTTTTTTTTCCTCCTGTGTATTTTAGCAAAGCTAGATAAAGAGAAGCATTTGAAGCTGGATCAATACTCCAATACTTCAAGAAGCAACATACAGGTCACGGTATCAGATTTCTACAGCATTAGGATGTGCTAGATTCCAGGGTGCTGGGATTGCTTAGCAATTTAGGTACAGTACAAACATACAGAGTGGATATACTGAACTTCACAATGGGAAAAAAAACCTATTGTTTTTATTTATGGCTTGGGTTCAAGCAGAGGCAAATTTCAAATATGTAGGGGGTTTAAAGAAAAGTCATGAGAAAATATATCTCTTCTGACTAAAGGCCTTTAGATTTTTACACAGTAAATACAAGGCTGTCATTGCTTGAACCAGAATCAACTAGTATACTCATCTGCTGAAGGACAACCTTAAGGTGTTTCCCCCTACCTCACCAAACAAAGAAGATTTTACATGACTGTCACATTCCAGAGAACAGCAAACTTGTACAAACCTCACTGAGGTTTAGTGCTTAACAATTCCAATTTAAAAATGGCTACCTTTTCTTTTGGAGGCTTTATTTCCTGGCAGACATGTATCGAGAATTCCCTTCCACGTTTGTAAAAAGCTGAAGGTGGATTTCCCCGTCATGAGGAGTCAAACAGCTCATTGCGTTTCTCCATAGAAACAAAAGCAATCCACAACAGAGGCCCCTCCTGGAAACTTCAGGGCTTGGAGACAGCCGGCGCTAACACAATACCCAGAAGAGGGCACAAATCCATGCGATGCAAGCAGCTCCCTGTATCAAGCAAGGGCGTGGAAACCCAGCTAGACTCCTTTGAGAAAAGTTTCTGAAGTAATCCAGAGAGCAAGTCCCCACGGAAACACAGAAGGCGGGGGGGGGGGGGAATGGAAAGCAAGCTTGTAAATCTGGCCAGATTAAAGCAAAATCCACCTTTGATAGAACAGCTTCCTAAAATGGATTCCCAGGTTTCCGTCTTCACCACTCAGCCAGATCATTATCCTGGGCAAGCTCCGCAGTTCCAGTGATTGCGATTTGACGACAATTGTGCTCAAACCCAACTGTAAAGTGCAGAGTAAAATCCAAATGTAAAAGAAAGTGCTCTTAAACTCAGGCTCCTGCCTCCTGCAGTAAAATCACTGGCAGTGAAAGGAATCCAGAGCTTGCTTCACTCCAGCTGCTAACAAACACGGGGGGGNGGGGGGGGGGAGGAGAGAGGGAGAGAAGGCGGTGTCCCGCCTCAGCCTAGGGAGGAAAGGAGGCTGGCGAATGAGCCTCACATGACCAGCTGGAGTCTGCTTGCAGCCAGCTAACGCAAGCATCCATCAAAGCAAGAGACTGCTTAGCACAGCAAAGGAAACAGCCGACAAATGCAGGGCTGAGCCCTTCCTCCTTGCCATGCACTGCCAACCTAAGTCTTGCAGCTCACAGAAAAGGAGGGGAACCAGCAAGAGCCCAGCCTCACCCCCTCCTGCTTGCTGCTCTTTCTTGTGTGGCAGGATTAACAACAAACGGAAAGCAGTAGCTCCTGACAGGGTACAGTCAAAGCACTCATCTACTGACCTCCTTCTCATCTTCCCCCTTTCTCCAACAACTGTGCTACTTCATTTGATTAAAATCCCAGCCAGGTTTCTGATACATAGGAAGCTGCCTTTTGCAGGTCCATCTAGCTTAGTTCTGTCTACACTGAAGAGAGAATGAATGGTTCTTCAGGGTTTTTAAATATATATATTTAAATGTCTTTCTCCCCATATAGAATCTAAGACAGATTTGAAAACAAGTACAATTAAAATATAGTCTATTACAACATTAGACATGTAAAAGTATTTTAAAACTACTAGTAATTTTTTAAAATACTGTCTTAGAAAACTCAAAACTCATGTAAGGATAAAAAATATGCTACATCCCGTAATAAAACTTAATGGTATTCAGTCACTAAAAGCCAGCCTAAAATGGGAAGTCTTTGACTGTCATCTAAAGCACTGGTCCCCCAACCTTGGGCCTCCAGATGTTCTTGGACTACAACTCCCAGAAGCCTTCACCACCACCTCTGCTGGCCAGGATTTCTGGGAGTTGAAGTCCAAGAACATCTGGAGGCGGACAGGAATTGTCTCCTTAATTTTTTTATTTTTATTTATTAATTTTTAACCTGGTGTGCTGGCACAGACTAACATGGATAAAACTACAGTACTAGAATAGAGGGGGTCAACCTGGCCTCTCAAGGGTGGCCATGCCACAACATGGGAACAGCCAATTAAGAGGGCTTATCTTGCATCCTCGGCAAACCATCTTATGAAGGAAGTAGGTCCAAGATATTAAATCCTGGCCCAGGTCATACAGAGAGATACAGCCCTTACAACAGTATAGACCCAAGGCCATGCAGAGCTTTTATACTTTATAACCAGCCCAGAAAGCAGCAACTGGCAGGTCCCTTCTGGCGGGGTCTTCCAGAGCTGTATCTGGCATGTCAAGGCTTGCAAAGGTCATGGGGACCTTTCACATGCAAAGCATGTGTTTAGCCAAATCTTCCCATAAAAGGTCATGATCTGCACCAAGAGGTGTATTAAAAATAACAAAAGTAAAACTGAAAAAGCAAGAGCAGGAAAACTCCACTGCAATCTTACAGATATCAAGGAAAGGATCAGCCTACTATAAACAGAAGAAAATTGTGCTGACAAAATTCCAGAAAGTTGATGTTTAACTCAAATTCTGTAGCAAAGAAAAGGATGTGGGTGGGAGCCTGCAGCCTAGGGATATACACATACTGTATAGTCAACAAAGAGAGACCGTTACTATATACAAAATGCCAGACATAGCAGCACACGGCACAACACAACATAGTGATGACATATGGAGAAACAACTGCAAACGTTAGAGGTTCATGCCTTTTTACCCTAACAGCTTAAAGCCTGTAAGAAATTAATATGGATAACTAAATTATTCTATAAAAACAAAATAGACAGTTACCTACAAAAAACAGAGAGGCCTTCAGGTTAGAAGTGCTGTTCTGATCAGAGTAGTTCACTCCAGGCCCTCTACAACTGCTTTACAATTTTTAAAAGACACTGATGGCTCTCAGACCCGAGATAATGAGCAAAATGGTCATAGAAACATATGCCTTTTAAGGCAACGAGGGCTAAAGCTTATCTTCTGCAGGCCTCCACCTTTCTCACCATGTCAGGCCAGTTCCACAATTGTTGCTACATTTCCTGGTCTGATCACCTGTCTGAGAAGCTGGGTGTGATGGTAGCTTAAGTTCTGCACTTCTCCAGGGACTCTTTCTGGGCAAAGAGATATTCTAACAAGATGGTAACTCATATCTTCATCTCCCTTGACTTTCCCATGTGTGCTTCACATGTCCTCACTTAGAATTTACACATCAGAATGTGGCATTTATTAGCCATAAACAGTGACACATACTGTATAATCTTTTGTGTATTTGAGGGAAACAGGTTTAAATTAAGTATATGTCATTCTGAATGTGAAATGAGTGTCTGTAACTGGGTATGTGGTTTGGGATGGGGGGGAAGATGCCAATTTTCTTACTAATACCTTTTTAGCAGTTAAGACATCAGTCTGAAAATATGCCAGAAAGCTATTTCAAAGAATTATTGGAGCTGCTTAAAAAATGAAGCACAATGATGATGAATAAGATTTTTTTTACTCTTCATTGGAATAATATATTTAAATAAAATAATTTAAAAGCAAAGCTGCAAACACATTATAGATTTACTGAAACATATAATTAGACGTCATTTCAAAGAGCTCAATATTTATTGCCATAGCATTTCTTTTCCAGGTTTTTTGATTCCCATTCCTGGAAGGTTATTTTAAGTGGTCCTTTTTTGGACATGATCTGCTTCTCATCTAGTTGCAACTCATATATTGCATGCTGCTTTATAAAATTACTAAAATAATTTTAAGAAGTGACCTAAGTATACATAACCATAGTAAGAGCGTTAAGACTGCATGCAGACAAAAACTACAAAATCATATAAACTGTATACAGAGGGTACCAAAACTACTCAAATGTTAACACTGGGCTTTGAACAGGAAATGCAAATATCCACCCATAAAGCACTAGTATTCTTGAAATGGTTGAAATAATGGGTGGAGCCAAACACAAAACATCCACTTCACAGAAAGGCAAAGTTATGGGCCAAGAACCTGAATATGGGTCCTTTTAAGGAGAAAGGCAGGGTAAAAACAAAATAAGTATGCAAGCACCCTGTTTCCCCAAAAATTCCCTCTCTATCTGGATCACACACTCCCCATTCTGTTGTCTCAACCAACTTTCCAAAACATCCATTAACCTTTTTTTCATTCCACCTATTACACACAGAGCCAGGATGAAGGCAGGTGCACAGGATCTGCCTCCTGTTTTGTCCACCTTCATCTATTCCTCTTCATACTCCCAAATACTCTACTTGCTCCTCTCTCACACCTATGTTAAGCACCCATGCAACCACTCTTAGCCCTCCCTCAGGCCACTTCCTGAGGTATCCCCAAAATTAGGTCACAAACACCCCTGCTATCCCAAAGACAGAATGGAACTCCCCTCTTTCACATTTCTATATAGAAATATCAGTCTTACAAATCCTGAGACTGCCAGTGGAACATAATGTACTGTATTTTTCCTCAGAAATCCCTTACATCTATGAGGTGTGAGATATAATTTAAAGAAGAAAAAGGACCTAAACAATACATATAGCGCAACCAAAAATGTGTATTATTTGAAAAATAAGCATACATTTTAATCATTATAAAATACTGTACACGTATTCAATATTTTGAAAAAATACACAAAATTATGACCATGCCTCCTGTATATATAGATGGGAGAGGCACTACTGCCTGGCATGAAAATGAAACAGAACAAGAATGAAGGTGGAAAATTGTGAAACTGAGCAAGAACAATGGATTTTCATATCCCACACCATAAGCACCATTTTTATTTGGAGGGGCAGCCAAAAGCATTTCAAAACGAGGTTCTTACCTGCAGCTTTACCATCTTTATTTCCTAAGAATGTCTTGGGTTCCACATGGGGCCTAGAGGCATTCTAGGGAATAGAGAAGGAAGGTGAATAAAGGCACTTCACCCTACCTGTTCCTCACTGCCAGATTTTTAACAACAAGCACATTTAGCAGGTAAAAGGGAGTTATTCACAGATGCCACATCACACCTCCATTTTTGACCTAGTGAAAATCTATTTTATTTATGTATTTAGCCACACTTTACAGAGACCAGGAGAAAACAGAAACATCTGCCATAGTAGGAATTATTACACTGCAACCTATCCAAGTATCTCTGTAGGCCATGGCAAATGCAGATGACCACATTATGGATTGTTATAATTCTCAAACTGCACTGTGTGTTCTACTTAAGATTATATATATTCAGTTTTTTCTTTCAAACATTAATCTAGTAATAAAAAGTGTAAATGAAGCACTGTAGGTTAGTTATTACAACTGCACATACAAAAAGACTCAAGAGAAATGATGGTGGGTTTTCTTGAATTTCTATCAATCAGGAAACCTCACAACAAATTTTAGCTTTAAGGATGTGTATGAGATGAAAAAATAAACCTACAAGGAAGTTAATACATAGCCTTTATTAACTAGAGATGTAAATCCTTGCTTCTCTCGTTCTTTGCTGAACAGGTGAATTTCTGCAGGACTTCTTGGTGGAGTTGGGATGTGGAAGATGGGGCTCACATACAAGACTCCATCCCCACCATCCCTTGAACCTACACACTTGCATATTCTTGTGTCACTCTTGTTCTGGGAGCAAGAAACCTTATGGGGCTTGGAAATATCTTGCTGACACCGTGCCTCAAGGTGTCAAAGCAGCCTAAGTTGATGAGAGCAAGAAATTTAAAGAATGTTCTTCATTTTCCCATTACTAACAATCCAGTTATGTAGAAGTGACAATCAAAGTGATCTATAATACTACTTCTTGCATTAAAGATGCTATCAAGACATTATCAATAATTCTTTTTAGAACCTGGCTGGACTAAGAGCTGCCCTCCAGATGTTGTTGGGATTGTCACTACCATCAAAGAAAGCCAATGGTGAGAACTCTGAGAGTTGCAGTCCAACATCATCTGGAAGGCTACATGAACTGCTCAAGAGACTCAATTTAAACACATACAA